TGTTTTGATGCAAGGGGGAAGACGAGTGATTGAAGTGCATGTGCGCAATGTCAGCTTAGTTATTCCTGCGGGATATCGAGGGGGAGAGAGACCCTTAATCGGAAATATGAGAGTGTGTACTAATGGGGTTGTTGTATCTCTCTTGTCGTATTCATTGTTGTCGACGCGAGATGAGATTATAGAAACCTGGGGGCCGGTGTCCCGGTGAGGATGTTGCTAAGTGCGGACAGCGAACACAATGAGTCCCAAAATCTCTTTACATAAATCACCTTTCAATCATATTCATTGCATCAGTTTGGCTATGACCAAGCATATTTTCAATAGTTTTTTTTAAATGAAAGTGAGAGCAAGTGATGAAGCGGAGAGTTGATGTTTGATGAAGTGAAACAGTTTTATTCTTACATTCTTTTGGGTAAATACCCTGAAACTGAAAAGAAAAAATATATTTTCAGATAACAAAGAATGTGCATGAAATACACGTGTATACGATAACATTTCTTATATGAAATATAAACATAAAAGTCATATTTATTAGACATGCAACGAACATATAAAAAGTACAGGTTTAACAAAATATCTTGGAATTATTACTGGTAAGACTTAATTGATTTTTTTTACTTCAACTTTTATCGTGTTACTTTCCTAACTGGTCATTGAAAATACAAGTTTTCAATTCATTTTTAGAGCTTTAATTTAAAAACTAAAGTTTTTCTACTTTTAGTTAATTGAATATTAGTAATTTGAAAATTAATAAGAATTTTGTGTAAATATACTATTTAATAAACCTAACTGAGATTGAGACATTTCTGATGGTATTGAATAATGTCAGTTATATAACTCTTAATAATTTCTTATTAACAGAAGTGTTTTCGTTTCACTTCAAGAAGAATTATAGAATCAATATAAATTAAAACTGAAATATAATTTTCTATTTCTTAATTTAATAAAATAGTAGTTGAAAATTATAATTTTACTTCTATTTTTTGTTTGTTATATCGAATATTTACATAGATTAATTAAAGCTTCACAGTTTTTCTAATTTATGATTCACTTAAGTATATGAACTTTGCAGCTGTCTTAAAGAACTCTTTTTTGGTTGAAGAAAGTTATGTTCTAATAATAATGCTTGTATGTTTTGTCACTTCCGTTTACTAGTTTTTGAGAACTTCATTGATCTAATTTAAATAAAATTGTGCTATATATTCATAATTTTAATTATAAAAATGTGGGTAATCGAGACTCATTTACGTGGAAACTAATTATATTTAATACAGTAGCCTTTGTTAGATCGTAAAGTTTATAATTCATAATGCTACTGTTACTTCTTATGTCTATATAATTATGAAGAATAATGAAATTATCCTTTCAATTATTCTATTAACAATTGTATAGAATAATTTTAATTTCCCAGTTAACACGTCAATTGAAATATTAAAACTTATTTGTTACTTTTATTTTGAAAATATGGAATTAATTAAACTAAACGAATTCATTATGGAACAGTATATCAAAATGTAGGTGTGTCTTTTAAATTGAAAAATATATTACTTGAAAGATCAAAGCTTTTTGTTTCTATTCAAATTTCAGTTGTGAAATTTAAACTAAACTAATCATTATGAATAAACATGTCCAATTCAAAGTGTATGTAAACCAAAAAATATATGGTATTAGAAAGATCAAAGCTTTTGTTCTGTTGTGAAATATGAAATACTAAGAATTAAACAAAACTAATTTATTGCGAATGGGAATGCCTTTGTTGTCAAGATTAAGACTAATAACTGTTTGAGGTCGGTTCATTCCCTATGTGTTTCTCTTTAAAGTTTCCATTGTCCTCGGTATCATAATTAAATGGTTTTGCTTTCCTGCTGCTGCTCCGTGCATCGTAAATAATAGAAATCGCAATTGAATTTTTTATGAAGTCAGCCATCCGATGCGGTCTATGTGTATTACGTGTGTTATGTGTGTACATGCAGGATTGCAGGATGTGGTGGTGTTTTTGATGTCAAGATGGCCGCGGCGTGCGCGAAATTGGTGGGAGGAGTTCGCGTTTCGCTATCATATAAAATCGCAGGCATCGATCGGTCTCTCGACCTCCACATTGGTAAATTCGCGGCGTCTGCGCCCGACTACAAAAGCCCCGTCTATTAACCTTCTTCCTTCTTCTCCAACTGCCTGGCATTACTCTGCCAGAATAAGTGTAACAAATGGTCGTCGTTACGCGCAATAGAAGATGCGACGACGAAATGCCGCCATTCCCTGTGCAAATCATTGTCTAACGTTTTATCAGAATTTAAATCCAATTGGAATTGAAATTGACTGTGATTCCCATCCATACAGGATAAGATAGATGCATCAACAGATTTTCAAGATTTATTGAAATCAAGCTGATATCAATCCTTATCATTATACTTTTCAAATATTTAACTTTACTTTATAGATAAACTTACTTTGACTATTCTCAATCATCGAACTTAAATAAAATGGTGAATTTCATCAAAAAATATTTCTCTTAAGTTTAATATAATTTCTTATTCAATTTTATTCAATATTATGAAACAAACAAAATACATTTTTTTAAATTCATTCATTCAATATCAACGATTTTATAATATAAAAACTCATATAAATTTAATATTAAAATCATTTTTCTACAATAAGTAAAATGTGCATATATTTTCATCATTCAAACAGTCTTCTTCCTTCCCCCTTCTTCATTTGGCTTCCGCATTACGCGCCAATAAGCCAATCAAACAGTCTTACATAAGCAAATATAAAAATTAAAAAGTATTTATATAATTCTAAATAGAAATAGTTAACTGTCACAAAGGGCTCGGAAATGACAGTTTAATGTAAAGAAATATTTTTAGAAATTTTATAAATTGATTTCATAGTATGTTTATTAACGTAATGTTATTTAATTAATTCACAATTAGATTTTGACAATTAGAAATTTGGACACGATTTTTCCAATATATTTACATAATGTTGAAGAAACTCTATAAAGCTACAAAATCTTCAAAATATAGGGATATTATTACCGAATTTTACATTAAAATTATAAAAAAAACTAATAAGAAATATTAACATGATTATTTTAATTATAATGAGAAATAATTGTAATATACACAATTTTAATTGTTCATATTTAATACTCGTTTAATACAAAGACTGAAAAACAAAAAAATAATTAAAACAAGTAAAATTGTTAAAGAGAAAAATCTTATTTATTTTTAATTATAATATGCAAAATACTTTCTATTACGATTGAAAATTATTTTTTGATTATTAATAACTTTACTAAATAACATACTGTTGCAATTATTTCTAATAATTACTCAGTTGTTTTGATTTTTATAAAAAGCTGATTTTTATGAAAATATTAAATTTTCACTATGATTATGATTATTGTGTATTATATAGTGGTGAGTCTAATTATTATAGATTTATAAATCAATAGTGAAATTTCGAAATCATTAATCGCATTTGATTTTACTTAGCAGAAATAAGTTTTTTTTTATAATTAACAAATGTTAATTACTATTAAAATATTACAGGATCATTATTAGAACAAACAAATTAATTTAAATTGTTATTCTGTTTTGTTTCGCAAACAAAAATTTAAAACTCCAACTTTTGTGAATTTTTATATTATTAAGAAAATAATATTACATTAATTAAAGAAGTTTCTTGGTACTTAATATTTAGTAAATTACTAGTGAAAAATTGTTAGGATACATTTATTTATTAATTTGTGATTGATGGATTGTATATAAACATAGGTATTATATAAGAAAGAAAAAATATTGTTTTCTATCAAATAGAATATAATAATTTATAGGACGATGATCATTAATTCAATGGAAGATTAATTAACATTGTATTTTGATGTACGATAAATACGATATAATCGCGTTTCTGAGTATTGAAAAAGAAAGAAAAAAGTCTATTTTATTTATATATTTACGCTGAAGAACATCTTTCACTCCCCTGTTTCGTTATATTATACAGGCTTGTCTGCTCTTCCTTATTTATATATATTTTATATATATATATGTATTATATACATTTCGTGGTCGACGTCGTCGTTTCTTTTTATCCGTTTTCATATTAATTTATATTTCATTCTTTCCGAGCGTCTCTCGATCTCCTCCTCGTCAGTTGTATATTTTTAATGGCCGTGGTTTTCAAGAGATAGAGCTTCGGTAATTTATAACCCCCGGTTCGACTGTCACGGTGACATTTAGTTTATGTGGACCTTCCCAGATCGGAATGCTCAGATAACACATGATATTCTAGAAGCCATTGTTTTATTCTTGTACCGTACACTCGGAACGAAAAACACGACGAACGGTCGAACAGACGGGGGATGGTGGTGGAGAGGTGAAGCCAAAACGAAAAGAAGCGAAAACCGAACAGAATAAGACTAAGAAGAACGGCGAACAAGAAGAGCACGAGCGCAAGGAGTAGGAAGGTAACCCAGGTCCAAAAGGTGGCTCGTAAAATATGGTCCGTTCTCTTCTTGTAAAGCAAAACCTCGGGATTTCCTTTCCTGTCGCTCGATTTTCGCTCTCTCACGTGTTTTGATTTACGCGGCGCGAAGTATTTTTATTCAATTTCCTGAGCTCTTTATAAATAAATACGTACGCACGGTGCGAGCGGCATGTTTTGGCTTCGTTTCTTCATCTTCCTTCTACCACTTCTTCTTCTTCTCGTTTCTTTTTTTTTGCTATTCCTTTTGAAATTGCATCTCTTGCATCACGTCGCAATTCATCACCGACCGTACGCGTGATGTTTATATTAAGATGGAATCTTTGGTAGCTGCGACTAATTACCGAAATGGCCGATGCAATTCGCTCGGTAAATTGTCCTTTACTTTCGGGCTCACAAAGAGCAATATTCGAGCAATTTATATTGCGGAAACATAAAAAGAAAAGATGATGTTGTTATTTTTGACTGCGTGCGTTCACTTATTTCAATTCTTACTTTTTTTTTCATTTCAGGTTTTGAAGTACTGCGATCATCTCCATGGCAAGTGGTACTTCTCCGAAGTGCGGGCGATCTTCTCTCGTCGGTACCTCCTGCAGAATGTGGCCATCGAGATCTTCCTCGCAAGCAGGAGTAAGTATTTCATCTCGTTTCTCATTGAATCCTTGAGGGATACGTTTGCTACACATCCGTTATTTTCAGCTTCGATACTCTTCGCTTTCCCTGATCAAGCCACCGTGAAGAAAGTTATTAAAGCCCTCCCTCGCGTTGGGGTCGGCATAAAGTACGGCATCCCACAGACTAGGTGAGTTATTATCCAATTTCCAACCCCTGAACCTCTCTAATCCCAAATGAATATTCTGTTCTTACTCTTTTGTTCAGGCTACATTAAATGTAAAACAACAACGTTTTCAATTAGTTTCTACATACATCATTTTTAGTACCAAATTTCATTGACTAATCTCTTTTAAAAAACGCAATAGTGCAAAATAATTCTACATATTTTTTTATCCATATTATAGAATACTTTAATTATAAATCAACAAAAATTTCAATTAATTTTTTAAACAATTTTTTTTTAATTTTTTAAAACATTATTATCACACCAATAATTACGAAGGTGACATTCAGTTTTATAAAACAATTTAATCTTTTATATCAAATATTACTTACCTATGAATAAAAGAAGAATTTTCAAATTGAATCAATAAAGTGAAAAATTTGATTTTTTTATGAATTGAATTTAGATTGTTCATTAAAAACTCCTAAGAATGATTTTTGTTGTATTCAAAAACAATAATTCCTTTTTAATATTTTATTGTTTTACATGAGTTAAAGAAAATGATATTTTAGATATAATTTACTAGAATGGAATCGATTTGTAATAATAACAAGTAATAATGATTAATTATTTGTTTAAAGTTACATCATTTCTATTAATTGTATTTTATATTTAAACTAAACAATTTTAGGAGCAAAAAGAAAAATATTAAATTAGTTCAAAACTAACTTTAGACTTTTTCTACTAATAACAGAATAATATTTACGTATTAAACCGTTTTAATAAATAAGTTACTGAAATATACGATTCGTATTTTGACTTGAAACTGAAATATTTTATGCGAATCTTTGTGCGAAAATCCCATTGTTACAATCATTAATTCAGTGCCATTAATTTATCTTTCCACGGCCTGCCATTAGGGCATCTAATTATGCAAGTTCTTCTTTTTTTCGCTCGGGATTCGTCCGTGAAGCGGGTGCAATAACTAACGACGTTTATCGGGAAAAATCTAAAGTTTCAATTATAGTAAATTTGTTTACGCAACGAACCGAGCGGCGCACATAAAGCATGTTTATTTTAATTAGCAGACAGTTTATTAATGAATAATTTAATGCAGGAAAACAGTGCAGCAAACGTAATTAATTGATGAGTGTCCATAATTTGGACTGTTATTAGATGTTAAGTGATTTTCGCAAAACGTTACTTCAATAAATGTCAGTAACGTAGCAAGTTTTTCTCTCTATTTTCGTTTCATTAAAGTAAAAACGTAATGATAGCATTTGGTGTTAATCTAAATTGCACGTTTAATTGGAATGAAAGCAGATTTTCAAATTGCTTCACACTGAACTAATTAGGATTTAAGCTCATCGTTGCGTAACTGCAGTTATTTTTTTTAACTCTCTTGAATATATTTTTCAAATTTCATGATATATAATGAAGATTCTTAATAAAGTTGAAAAAATATTATTTACATTCGTTTCAAAATCTGAATTCATAATAATAATCTTAAAATGTAAATTGTAATTTAATATAATCATTATTTATTTAGTAGAAAGATTTTAATATTTTAATTTATTGGAAAATATAAATTGTAATAATCGTAATGACATTCATTTAGTTAGACATTGAAATTATTAAATTGAGTAAATGGGGTTTCCAGGTTTCAATGTGCAGGAGTCTAGCAGCTGTCATGTTATTAAAACAAATGTGCTGAATGAAATATATCTGTTGGTTTCATTCAATTAAGTAGCATTTAACCATGTATTAATTAGTTCTCACTTATATATTATTTCAGTGATAAATTTGTATTACTTCAATTGAAGTTTTTTTCACTCTTTGATTTTTATTTACAAGATTTATGTTGTTTCAAAGATATATTATTATGTAATTATATAATTTTCAATATTTTCATTTTGTTACTACTTTCTTCTTTATGATTATTAGAAAAGAAAATGGATTATGTTTTACTCGAATACAATTCAGTTAATATGCAGAGAAATCCATCCAAGTTTTGTTAATTTAAAATACCAGATTTATGGACAAATCTTCACTCGTACAAAAAGATTACTAATCGTGACATGAGATATAAACTTTTGTCAGCGATAACAATTATTGTTAACATGATAGTGTAGTTACATCCTACTTTATAGTGTGGATACTGCATTAGAAAATCTTTCAATTAGATTTTGGGGATTGGTTAACATCAGTACATATTTTTTTTATTAAATTAAAAGGATTGGGTGATATTGAAAATGGGTACAGGATTGATTTATCGTTCTTTAAGGACTTATTTATTAGATCGATATTGCTAAGTAGTAAAATAAATTTACAAAATAGCCGGGTGGTACAATATATATTGGGTCGTCCCCTGGTATCGGGACGTGTAGGTTGCGGCCGTCCGTAATTTATGGTGTGTTTAAATGTTCAGAACGTTATCGAAAATCAATGGTAGATTGCACTCGTTAGGTGCGTGAAATAAGGTGGATAAAGGTGGATTCGCCCCCAGGGCTGATACCGTCTCCTCCTCTTTCCCATCCTCAGCCTAGGTAGTTTTCCCTGTTGTCGCCTTTGCCGTCGTTGTCGTCTTCCTCGTCGGCGGCGGCAATTTATGAATGGCAGTGGCCAGTAAAGTGGCGTATCTTTAGTGGCATGTTTCCACAGTATTTACATTCGCAAGTCTTTATGGCAGATATATAGAAGTTGGCGACTTCTTCTCGCTCCCCAAGAGATATTGCTACGGCCGGTCGCATCCTTCGAAACACTATCGTTCTCGCATTACAAAATGATTTGTATTGCTCCCACATCGCCCATCCTCGATTTTTATTTTCCACATAAATAACCGCGCCACGTTTCATAAATAAATTCTTTATCTCCTCCGTTTATTTTGCAGACGAGCCAGCATGATGTCTCCTAGGCAGCTGATGAGAAACTCCAACATGACGCAGAAATGGCAGCGCAGGGAAATTTCTAACTTTGAATACTTAATGTTCCTGAACACCATCGCAGGTAAGGAAAATTATGTGCATGTGTGCAATGTGCAGTAAGGATGGATAAGAGAGGCTCAATTGAAATAACAGACACCAGTCTCCGTACGTATGTAAATCGACCTGGTTTTGTTTCGAACGACCAAAGACCTAAAGGTTCGTTCTCTCTGTTCACGTGTGTGTGTGTTGTTACCTTGCGTATGTGTAATGGTTTCTCGGTAGCCGGGAAATTATTCCTCGTTGACAGGCCGTGAAGTGGCACCAAGCAAACAGCGGAACAAGACTTTTTGTTGTGGCTGGCGACGTTCGCGACGGCTGGCGCGTGTTCTTTCTCTCTCCTCCACCGCTGAAGATGTCGCACGCAAAATTAGCAGTTGTCGGCTAGAGGGTGGAGCGGAGGGCCGATACTAAATTAAAAACGTATACATCATGTCGAGGCTATTTTCGGGACTCATTAAATCACCGTGCATCCGAACCCTTAATCATCATCATCTTCGTAGTCGCCGCTTCCTCCCGAATAAGGAAACCATTAATTTTAAAATGGTATAATTTGTATGATGCCAACCATTTTTTCCTTCAAAATATCTGTTTTTCTTTCGGATCTACCTCAAAGACCTTTCCAATTTATAAATACATATTCTAAACAATAACAACAAATACTTGTTAATTCTTCAAAATTGTAGAAACATTATTCAATTTTTTTATTTCGGAAAACCTGTAAAAGTCCTATAAAAGCATGTCTAATAAAATTTCAAATTAATTGTTGAGAGACGAAACAAACATTAACTAGGTTTTTCAGTTCATTACAAAAAGTAAACAAACAAACTTTTATTTACTCTTTGTTAAAGTTTGTATTGGTGATCAACTTTACGTACACCCTTGTTGCATGCTATTTCACTCCACTTTTATTGCTCCCTGTACCAAAGTAATTGGATTTCTATTTGTGACAGCGCTCCGAGTTCTCTTCCTCCCGTTGCGTTGTACTTTATTTTAGATTTTTTTGGTCGTTTCGCGTCAGATTTATTACACTGTCTTTCCCTCTTCGTTTTCTGTGTGTGCTATGCGTTTGTCTGTTTTTGTGTTTGCGTTTCGCCCGTGCGCTCTCTCTCTCCGCGCGAGTTTCTGGTGGGGTCGTCGCGACGCCGGATGGGAGATGTCAGTGCGAATTAGGCGCCACCTCAGTCACCGTAACGAAACGTGGGGGGATTTCCGCACCCTTCCGTACCAGCCCCAACTTGATCCCGAAATAATATACCCCTGCGCTCCCTCCCTAAACTCCAAATACTATGGCCTTTTTCGACTCAATAGACACTGCCTGTATAAAGCTCAGTATACAAAAAAATATATTTATACTCGAGGATCCTGATTAAAATACGTTCTTCCCCCGAATTACGCTTCTAAAAAGCAATAACAATGGTAGCATTACTCATAGCATGATCCATTTGGGTAGAACTTTATATATAATCAACAAGTTGTAATTGGATTTGTCCAACTGAAATTGTAAAATCATGTAATTGTAAAAAGATTTATATTGTAAAACAAATCTGTTTTCACAAGATGTAAATGTGATTTAAAAATTTTGCAGGTCGTACTTACAATGACTTAAATCAGTATCCGATATTCCCGTGGGTTCTGACGAACTACGAGAGCAAAGAGTTGGATTTAAGTCAGCCTAATAACTACAGGGATCTTTCTAAACCTATTGGAGCTTTGAATCCGAGCAGAAGAGCTTATTTCGAGGACAGATACAATACTTGGGAGCATGAAAGCATTCCACCGTTCCATTACGGCACGCATTATTCCACGGCTTCGTTCGTTTTGAACTGGTTGATCCGAACGGTAATGACCCGTGCATTTATCGAATATATTCCTATACTATTTGTAATTTCTACAGGAGCCCTTGACTACTATGTTCTTGGCGCTGCAAGGAGGAAAATTCGATCATCCGGATCGTCTGTTCTCTTCCGTTGCGTTGTCGTGGAAGAACAGCCAAAGGGACACCTCGGATGTGAAAGAGTTGATCCCCGAGTTCTTTTTCTTACCAGAGATGTTTGTAAATAGCAACCATTACCGTTTAGGGAATCAAGATGACGGAAGTATCGTGGACGACGTTGAACTACCTCCATGGGCTAATTCCCCTGAAGAATTCGTTCGAATCAATAGAATGGTACGGTTACAGTGAAACAGGATTTTGGATCAATGCTAATTTTTTGTTGTATCTTTAAAGGCTCTTGAATCCGAATTTGTATCGTGTCAATTACACCAATGGATCGATTTGATTTTTGGTTACAAACAAAGAGGACCTGAAGCTATTAGAGCTACGAACGTGTTCTATTATTTGACCTACGAGGGTAACGTTGATATGGATTCTGTAAATGATAAAGTTATGAAGGAAGCAATTGAGAACCAGATTAGGAATTTCGGGCAGACTCCGTCTCAGTTGCTTATGGAGCCGCACACTCCCAGAAGCTCTGCGATGCATTTGGTAAGAGTATCAAGATATTCTTCATTACAAATTTACTAACAATCATATTTATTTTAGTCGCCGATGATGTTTTCTGCAATCCCTGACGATGTCTGCATGACGATGAAGTTCCTTTCCAACTCGCCGATTTGTCATATTTCGGCCAACACCTATCCTCAATTAGCTTTGCCATCAGTGGTCACTGTTACCATGCACCAGCAGTTCGCCGTAAACCGTTGGAATTCTGGATACGCCGCAATAGCGCAATCCCCAAGCTACGCAGAGTCGCCCCAAAATCAAGGAGCCAATTTACCGCTCTCGATGGATCCTATTCTCTGTAAGACTCGTCCTCAAGGTGTTTAGTAATAGTAATATTAATAGTATACATTTCAGCCCAAACGAATAACAGTACAAATCCGATGCTGAGGAGACACCTCGGCGATAACTTCAGCCAGAACTTGCGCATCCGCTCGAACTGCTTCGTGACGACCGTAGACAGCAAGTTCTTGGTGGCTTGCGGCTTCTGGGACAACAGCTTCCGCGTTTTCTCCACCGAATCCGCGAAGATCGTGCAGATCGTTTTTGGCCACTACGGCGTAGTCACATGTCTATCCCGTTCCGAGTGCAACATCACCTCCGACTGTTACATCGCATCCGGATCGGCAGATTGCACTGTGCTGCTGTGGCATTGGAATGCTCGTACTCAGACCATTGTTGGAGAGGGCGAAGTACCAACACCAAGGGCCACGCTCACAGGACACGAGCAACCCGTGTCCAGCGTTGTTATTTCCGCTGAATTAGGTCTTGTAGTTTCAGGATCTTACAGTACGTTTGATACAATAAAAATATTAAAAAATCAAAACTAATTGCTTTGCTTTTGTAGGTGGTCCAGTTTTAGTTCATACCACGTTCGGGGATCTCTTGCGTTCGCTCGATCCTCCTAACGGTTTCGCATCACCCGAAAACATTGCGATGTCACGCGAGGGCGTTATAGTTGTAAATTATGAGAAAGGGAATATCGCGGCTTTCACCATAAATGGGAAACGATTAAGACACGAGTCGCATAATGATAACTTACAGGTACATTAATTTACAATTCTTCTGTAACTTAAAAATTTACTTGAAAAATTTTGCTTTTTCAGTGCCTATTATTAAGCCGAGATGGCGAATATTTGATGACCGGAGGAGACAAGGGCATAGTCGAGGTGTGGAGAACATTTAACTTGGCTTTACTCTACGCCTTTCCGGCATGTGATAGTAGCGTTAGGTCATTGGCTTTGTCACATGATCAAAAGTAAGTTCTTACTTTTATAAATTACAACTGAATTATATTAATAATGAATCATCTTTTTTTCAAGGTTTTTGCTAGCAGGACTGGCGTTAGGATCCATCGTGGTGTTCCACATCGATTTCAATAGGTGGCATCACGAGTTCCAGCAGCGCTATTAAATCGTAAACTAAATGAAATTGTAACAGGTTTAGCGCTTAAGTACTTAATTTTGATTTTCTATTCATTTACTTGGTTGTTTATTATTTTTTAACTTACAATATGTTAACCGATTTTGTGCAATTTATATTATTCCACGTAGTATTTGAGACAAACATTTTATTTGATCTAGTTATTATAAATAGGTGGGACGATGTGCGGAAGGAAAGCTTAATTGAATCTATTGTAAGATACTTATTATATTGGGATAGTGTGCGATTTGTTTTTCATTTATTATATCTATATATATTATGATTTATTGTTGGAAGCAGGAAGAATGAAGAAACAATGCAAAAAACCATATTCTTGATTTCACGTTAGCTTCTAATGTTCAAGTCAATCCAGAAATATTTTTAATGCTGGCATGTAAACATTTTGTAAGTAAGGAGCACGTCCTAAAAATTGCTTGAAGCTTGCACATTAGTTACAGCCAGCAAGTGAAGAAAAGTATAAATTAATTTAATATAATTGAGAAGAGAGAGAAAAAAAAAATGGAAAAAATAATAATAAAATAAAATAAAATTGTTACGCCTTCAAACGGCATGTTTTTTCAAAAATGATACAGACTGCAAATACAAGGGTAAAAACGATTTCTCGACGATTCAGTTCTTTATGCTGCTATCTGCGCTTGTATTTGGATTAATGTATTTGATTTTTTAAAATATAACATTCCCTCCAAGCGTGTGTATATTATAATATATTGCAAATCTGTCCAGATAAATCAAACTTATTGTAAATAAGTAAGATTGTTTTTTATAAAATCGCTAATTGATTCATGTTTTAATCATTATTATTTTATTACTTAAATGAATTGTACTTAAATGTAAGAAATTATATTATAGTGTATGTTTGATGTTAGCAATAATACTTCATTTGTATACACATATTTAATTGAATAAATGTGTTTTGTTCATTCTCATTTCTCATGTGCTTTTATATTTTACCTATTTATCCTTAATATCCTTAGAATCATATTGAAACAAAATCTACCCTTAGTAATGAAATTTAAACTTTCATAAATACTAACTATTATTCTAATTTGGAACAAACAATAATCAATTCAATATTATGAAAAAAAGCCAGACATATTTAAATTTAAACTGATAATAATATTTATTCAATACATACAAATATATACTATAAAGTTACACCTGCTTCATAGTTGTAATGTGGTGTATGTTTTGTTTTCTTTGATTCATTATTGAAAGCATTAGAATTAGGTATTATTAATTTGTATGAAGACCGATATCGGATGTAGAGGCCCAGTTCGACTTTAATATGTATAATTTTCAACTTTGATTCCTTTTGTGGTACATACACTAGAACCTAGTTTAACGAGTTTAATCCGTTCCAAAATTTTCTGAGTTTTACTCGTATAGTGAAACATATTGAAAACTACACACGATATGTGTACACAAGTTTTAAAAATGATGTAGCAGGCGCGCAATCCGGGACTTCTCTTCTCATCGTCACTCGTTATGCGAAACGTCGCTCGTTAAACTATATATAGTACATATTATTTCTAGTTCCTCCACAAAGTTAGGGTAACTATCCCCATCTGTGATCACGAATTTGTATTGAAAAATAAAATTGGTACTTTATTATAGGCAACTTTTTAGGCAAACGGAATTAGAGGCAACCCTTATATAACTTGAATTAATCGCAGTAATGGAATAGTATAAATCAGTTAATTATTTTTTTAAATTCATTCACAAATGTTGTTATTAAGACCATATAATATCAATTCAATTCATTTACAATATTTCATAAATTATTTATTAAATTAACACAAAATGTGTTTACATAAACTATCAAGTTCTAACGAATTTCTTGTTTATTCTCAACTTTGCATCTACATAAAGTACACATTATAAACTAGAACAACTATAAATTTACTTTGTCAAACTCAACGGGATCCTTGAGTGCAAACAGATTAATGTATAAAGCAATCTAATTATTATGCAATATTTGTTACTCTTAATATAATAAATACTTGGTACAAGTACTTGGTAACTACTTGCAAAGAAAAGTTTATTTTTCTTGTAGATTATACACAGAATAAATGTATAACAGTATTGTAATTATGTAATAAAAAATTAATATATAGAATTCATAAAATTATACTGCACAAACTATGTTCGCATAGACTTTGAGAAACAAATTGAAATAAATTATTTGTGTTTTATGAAATCTAATTTTTATCTGAATTGGAAATGTGTACGCATGTGGATTTATAGATTTGCCTGTCCTTTTGATGTATCTGATCCAATGTATATTAATGATAGAAATATGAAACATGCATCGCATTTTGAATATTCATCCTCTTTTGCAAATCCGACGAAAAATGTAAAACTGCGTGAAGTGAAGTCTCTCAGAAAATAAAAGGAAACGCAAGCTGTGTTTCACAACAACAATACGCGTGTTTACGATTATTTTCTTGTCGCAGGGCCGGGGCTTTGATTCATTGTAACTCAAGTCATGCAAGCCGATCGTTTATCTGAATTCACCCCCTCAACAGGTTACTCATTAATGAACCGCCGCTCACTACGTGTGCCAACTTTTATCTCAATTTATATGACAATAAATAATATCTTTGGTAGTTCATCTAAAAATAAATAAAATTCGCTATTCCTCCGTCACAAATGTACAAAAAAAATCCTAACACTATAATAGGATGTGGACCTAAAAATAACTGTGTAATTATTGCTTCATTTGGAAGGCGTGAATTTGCATAAATGCATGAAACGATTTACTTCCTTCCTAAATACTGATGAAAAACAATTTCGTCCAGGTATCCCGTCGACTGGCATCGAATCCCGATTAAAGACTTTCCATTCTTAATTACTAATTAAGCCCAATTTACGCAAGGAATTGCCGTACATCACCATCGGCTCCAGAAGAATTTGCATTCCCATAAAACTTTGGCGCAAACTCGGGTGGTTATAGGTGCAAACCCCTATAAAAGCGCGCGCTCGATTTATGACCCTTTAATACAACTCCGCAAACGATTGAAATCGCAACACGCACTCCGACACCAGTTGTCTTATTCAGTGAAATATTTTTAAGTTCTTTAAATTCGCGTCGAAGATGAACAAGTTTGTGTCTTCCCTTCTGAAAATCTCCGGTATTTTGATTTTGTTCGTGCTCGTGGATAATATTGATGGTAAGTTTAAAAAAAGATTTTTTTTTGTTTTTCGGTTTCTGTTAATATATTGTAAATGTCTTCATCAGCGAAAGGAAGAGATTCTAACCAAAGGTTGTTTCCGTTCCCTCGTGTCGGTCGGGGTCAAGATTCGAGATACTTAAGTAAGTTTTTGAAAATATTTTTATATAATAGTTTGTTTGCTTTAAAGTTTTTTTTAATTTATTATTTCAACGTAATTATGTAATAATCAATATTATGTTGTGTAGAGTTTGTTGATGCAAAGGGGACCAAATTTAATTAGTCGCTGCATAAAAGCTTTGGGTTATTGAAAATTAATTTGTGTAACATGTCCATAAACGTGTTTTGTTTTGGGCCTACTATTAATGTTAATTACATTGAAAACGGGGTCGTAATCACAAAGCCCCAGGAGTCCCCCTCCTTGGTCTCGAACACCTTCAATTTACTCGGTATTTGTGGATAAACAAGGGTGCGGATTCGATTTGCAAACGTTGTGTAACATTTGCGAATTATTATCCTTAGGTCGCAATGAGGAGGGAAAGATTTCTCTGTTCGCGTTCCCAAGGATCGGGCGTTCGGAACAACCACTTCCAAAGAGGTCCTCCTCCTCTTCCAACAACGGCCTGTGGTTCGGACCTAGACTGGGTCGCGTCCAAAAACGAGACATCTACGTGTATGATCTTCCACACAACTATCCCCGTGAGATCGTCTTCACGAACTCGAAGTACAACATGGACTTTCCCGACTACCCGGAAACGCGAAACGTCCACTACACGCCTAGATTGGGAAGGGAGTCTTCGGAACAGCAGGAGGAAGATGCCGAAGAATAAGAAGTAAACTAAGTATATTAATTTTAATAAAGCGTTGGACGCCCGGCGTAGGGCTGGATGCGCCGGGCGGCTTATGATAATTGCATTATGTAACCTATTTTAAATGTACACTGTATTCTGAAATTAAAATTAACAAAGTAAAATAAAATGCGATTCACAAATTATCAGAGGTGCTTCTTCTCCTATGGTTTATGTTTTAATTATCTCCACGAATCTTGCCACACCGTTGAAGTCTTTGTGGGATCGCTCGAACTTCAGCCCCAGGCTAGGACTCCCCGTCAACAAATTCGCAATAAGCTCGGGGTGAGAGGGATCAACTTCTAAAAATAATTTTCCACTCCTGTTTAAATACGTCGTCGCGACGCCCAGTATATCCCTGACAACATCGAGACCATCCAATCCTCCGTCCAACGCTTCCAAATCTTCGAATCTACAAAAGAATATGACATAAAATCCTCATCACGAACGCGGAAATTAAATTATTTTTAACGCACAGCAGAATCTCCGCCTGAAGGTCCATCATATCTTTGGATAACACGTACGGTGGATTGCTGATTATTAAATCGAATTTGTTCTTCAGTTCTATATCGCCGATCGCGCATTGCTGAACTTCAAGCCGCCCAGATAACTTCAAATCCGAAGCGTTCTCTTCCGTTAATTCGCATGCCTTCGATGATTTGTCGCAGGCCACAGCTTTTAACTTAAATAATCAATGTCAATTAGCGGTATTCAATTACCGCCGGTTTTCCCGTTTTACTTACACCGGGTAAAAGGTTCAGCAAGGCCAAACTAATCGCACCGCTTCCGCAGCAAGGTTCCAATATACACGTAACGTCCCTTGATTTGATGTCGTTCAACGCCAATTCTACTAGGATTTCGGTCTCCGGTCGTGGAATGAATACAGGTGGACGCAGTTTCAAAGTCAACTCTCTGAAGTCCCATTGACCTATTACATATTGGATGGGCATTCTGCAATTTAAAATGGACTCAAACTTTACCTCCTCCAATCTATATATTTCAATTGTCCATCAATACCTTTGCAATCTCTTCTTACACATCTCAATAATGTTTTTCATTTCAACTGTCGATAATTTCCTGTCTCGTTCTTGATATACAGTGGCAATCTTAAATTAAACCACAGCAAAATTATACGGAAACTTTACTTGTTATTTACAAAACAAAAATTCAGCGTAAATATAATACATTTCTTCAATCACTATATATTTAAATAATAATTTTTGCTTATTACTAAAAAAATACGTCCTTAGAGACATAATTGATTACAATAGAAAATGATCATAAAAATAATTAATTTAACCTTTACCTTATTAGAATTTAAAGTTGATGCTAAAATATTGGCTATGGATTCTAAAGGTTCGTAGACCTGTGCATCCGAGAATCGCTTGAACCAAAGTTTTAGCATATCCTCGACTGTTTCAGGTTTTGAATTCCCGCCAGTTGTAGAAGCGTTCGCACTTAAACTCCTCCTCTCAACATGACTCAAGTCTGACAATTTACTTAACCTTTTGCATTGCGTTTGAACGCATCTCCTGACTAAAGTGCGAAACATTTCACAAAATTATGTGCAATGTTTACCGTAGATATTTAACCACAGATTACTTCACTAACTTAAGGTTTCCACTAGTTATTTTTAAGTAGCAGTTAAAACTAACCTCTCATATGTATCGATTTTTTTCACTTGAATATGCAACTGGTTACACAATTTAGTGCAGATTTAGCTTTGAATTTGCCTACTTTTTATATTATATTTGAATTACATTACTAATTATTCTATAGTCGCCTGTAACACGAAAATCTGATACGTTGGTTCGGTTCCCAAAAACCAACAAAATTCCTGAAATCTAATTAAATATAATTAATTATATTTTAAGATAATACGCAAATAAATTCTAAAATAAAATTATATATTTGATAATTAATTATGGTAATTGTAAAAGGAATTCAATAAAAAAAATGTAATGTAGTTATACTAAAATATTGATTTATTTAATTGCATCGAACACGGTGCGGTTTGTTCATTTCTGTTTAAACTTATTAACTAATAACAAAATTGTCGATAATAAATAAGTAAGTAGTCGTGTTTCGTTAATAACATACAAATTAAATGTCTCGTTTGAGCCGCGGTTTCAACTAGTTTTTGCCAGCAAAAAATATCACAATTAGTTGCAAAAATCTTTGAACCAACATCAACGTCTCAAGATATTCTTTTCTTGCATCTTATGTAGCCCGAAGCGGCTTCTCGACGTTCTTCTTTGGCTTGTATCTCATGTACAGCAGCTCCGTCGTCCACATGATTAACGTCATGCAAGTGACTATGTTTATAACGTAGATGCAGCGCTTGTAGCTGCCAGTTATATCACGAATTAAACCTGCGGAAACAATCCATCAAATCCGGATACGAATTTATTAGTAATGCGATGGGTTTTACCTAAAACTGGTCCTCCAGCCATAATGAATAGACCATTAACTACCATCTGCAATCCTGCAGCGTTCGCTAGACGTTCGATGGGAACGTAGTTTGGAATTACTAAAGTCCAGTAGACAGTACGTATACCTTTCGCTATTCCCAGAGCTATCGCCACTCCGAGCAGTTCATAGAAACTCTCGAAAAATACAAGAGCTGAAAGTTTTGTTAAGAATTATTGCTGGCTCTAAATAGTATGGTTTATAAAGTGCTTACTGAATCTCGTTGCGATGAGTAGAAGTAGTGAGACCATGTACATGATTCTGGCTGGTTTATTTAGAAAATCACCGATGAAGGGAGCGATGAATCTGAAGATTATATCGGCTGTGGAAAGGGTTGAAAGGAAGATAGCGATTTGATAAGTGGTTAGATGGAAGTCGTCGAGAATGAATGGGGTTAATAGAGAGAAGTTGATCTCGGCGAAGACGGCTAAAGACATTCCTAACATTATGTTTACGTAGATCGGATCCTTCAGCAAAGTTAGATCGAAAATATTGACGATGGTGGTCAGGATTCTCTTAAAAAACCCGACTTTCTTTTTCTTTTCCGGTGCGACCTCGTTCTCCTTGTTCACGTCCTCGATCTTCTCCTCTTTGATCTCGCTTTCGGACCTGGCGAAGGGCGCTTTTCCCTCAATCACCGATTTGTAACTGACGAACGAGTATCTGCGTTGCTTGACGCCTAAACCAATTCCATTTTCAAACTCATTGTTTTAGTTAATTTCTCGTTGTATATCAAACCTTGATTTAGTGACATAACGCTTCCGTTGAGCGGCGTATCGAATCCATAAATTGCCTGCACCTCGGTATCGTGATCAATCGAGATGATGGATTGCATCACCGGGTTGTTCTTATCGTACAAACCGCAGCTTTTCCCTTCCTCGATCAGGACCTCACCTTCCTCCTTCGTTGCATCTCCATTTTCTTCATCGATGTCCTCTTTCCTTGAATGCCACTTCACGGGCTGCAAAAGGCATGCGGCGATAAACGAGTGGGCGGATATAGATCCGATGATTAACACAGCTCCAGTCACACCGTAAATATCTATTAGGAAACTGATCAGCAGAGGCATCACTACTGGACCTAATCCTGTTATTGTCATGGCAATTCCTGCCGCTTTGCTCCTGTTCTTCAGGAAGTACAAGTTCAGCGCGAACGGATACGATCCCATTCCCATACCCATTCCCAGAGCTTTCAAAAAAAATAAATTAAAAAAAAAATCATAAAAAAATAAGAAAAACATTGTACTTATTTCTGTTGTTAATTATACTATTAAAATATCCACATTTCTATATTCGATTCAGTACGAACAAAATAAACCCATTAAGTACATTTTCCTAGGAAGGCCTTGAAACATTAAGTATACAAAAATAGTTGCGTAACAATCGTTCGACTCATTTCTACATTACTAAACATACCGACAATTATCACGACGATATTTTTAATATTTTACAATTGCTTTTTTTCTCTCAAAATACAACATAATCACTATATTATGGCCAGAGATAAAATACCTAATTAATTAATCACCTTGCAAACTTATCATCATTTCATCTCAGATAACAGCTATTGCGTTGTTCTACTTATTGATTTTACTAAATATTGTAATTAAAGTGTATATAAATTTAAGGAATTTATTATATATCTAATACAGTTTCATATATAAAATATGCAATATTCGCACGTATTTTAGAAAATGATGGAGCAAATACAATTATTGTAATTTTCTGATAAAAGGTTATATTGCCGGCTTATCAAGCAGTCACACATGGCTTAAAACATACATATATGAGCGTAATCTAAGTGGAGTGCAAAAACAAGTTCCAAAAAAAAAACAGTTAACGGCAAAGCACGAAATGATGCATTCCATTGTTGGTGGTAAAACAACTAACGTTCTTGGAATTCATTTATTACGGTTAACCGCAAGAAGAGACGAGATAACTTGCGGTTATTTAATTACTTACAAGAAAATTTGAAGCAGTTAATTATGTACCTTCTTTACTGAAAGATTTGCTCAAGACGCTGATTTGATTAATTGATGATAATCCTCTGCAACTAATGGATTTTATTGTGCGGACGCAACTGCCTGATTGTGACATTATTAATGGAATAAAAATACTGTATAATATTGGTTTCGTGAACAACAATAGACAGTAGTGATCTTTGTTTCGAAACGGCATTGTTTCAGTTAATTGTAAAATTATAAACTATCTAATTTATATTTCTTTGGAAATTGGATGTAAATACATATTAAATATTTATTAAATTCATTGAAACAACAAATCGCTTCGTTCTCCCATGAGTTTTAATATAATGATAGAGTTATTAGATTACATTACTTCCTGTGCGGGGCGACGAACGCACATCTCATCTTCGACGGAAACATCTGAACGAAAACACTAATCATTTACCAAACAAATCGAGTTTTGTTAATTGCGAAAACTAATATTTTTGTTTCTAATTTTTAACCGTTCTTTTATTCTGCATCCTCATTCTTTTGTATACACATAATCACTACGGATGTTTGAGCGATTGTTACGTAAGTTTTCGGTACAACCTGTAATTGGTATTTGCGGGGCGTATGCAGCGTATTTGCATTTTTTACCATGTGACAAGGTTACAATGTGATCGTAAGTATTGAGCTCCTTTGATAAATTATTCAAATGCGCTGTTTTTTATTAATTACATATTAATTTGCATTTCAAACTCGTATGCATGTATATAACTATACTCTCGAAGAGAAACATGTTTTGTACCTAACCTTCTTTTATTTATTGTAGTCATCGAGCTCAAGACTTCTACACGCATTAAATAAATTAATAGCCTTATTATGCAATCAACCTAATTCACATGTAGTTTACTAATATATCTACATACTAAATTCTTCGAGTTCAATCCAATATGACTAATTATAGATTACTTTCTTTAATAACCTGACTAGTACTTTTACGTAACAACATTAATTTATTTATATTAGATTCAGAGACTAAATGATTAAATTGTCCTGAGTGAAATACTTACAGGTAATGAATCCGTATGTGAATAAAAATGCAGTAAAAGATCTGGCGTATGAAGTGAGTATTACTCCGACTGTGGTGAATAATGCTCCTGCGAATGAGACCTTCCTGTATCCAAAATACTTAAGCATAGGTCCATTGATGAGTCCTGTGAACATTGAGACCGCCGCGTTCATGTTTATAATGATCGATCCATCTGTGGCCGAAAATTTCATGGCGGCGAACGTGTCTTTGAAGATCAATCCAAAATTTTGCATGATCGGAATCATAATCAACTGTAAAGACAAAAACAAAAAAAATGGTTATTTACAACTGAATTTTGAATTCTAAATATATCATTTTATAGTAGACTTGTTTACAAATCTAAACAACTTATAATATAATAATTTAAAAACAAAATTACCATAAATTATATATTTTTTCAGTAAAAATCTGGACCTATTTAAAATTTGTAAAGAAAATTCTTTAAAAAATCCAATATTTTTTTTATAATAAATAGATGAATTTCAGTATTCCAAAACTGCAAAATTATTTGAGTATTCTTGACATACATAAAACGAGGACAAAGTCTAAAAATTTTATGCACACAATTAAAAAAAAAGAGAAAGAGTTAAATTAAGAATTAATTAAAGTAAATGATTTTGGAATAATTCAGCATCGGCCATGGAGCATGAGTTATGTTAATTGAAAGGTTTGCTTCTATATTACATTATATTTTTTTTTTGCATGTATAACTATAACGACTGGAATCCATTGTTGTCGGTGCAATTCCACGATGAATTTTTAATAATTCGGTTTTCTCGTACGTTCCCCAACATTATCAATTAAATTAATTAACATAAACTCGTTGTCCTTGAATTATGATCATTTCCTTCTCGACTTTTCTTCTCATTTGAATCCACAATATAAAACAATTTCGTGTTCCGTTTTCAACTTCAATGCGTGTCATTTATTCGCATTAAAATAACATACTGAAGAATATAAAGAAAAAATCTAGTAACATGTGCTACACATGTTTTTTTTCTTCAATTCTTGTATAAATAAACGTTTCAGTTTTTCTTTAAATTGCTTTTAATTATGAGAACTAATTCATATGGATTATGCCAATACTTGTCGCAATGTTTATTTTTCATTTAGTTTATCTACTGTGCACGTTTTTCAAGTAATAAATACATTTATTATTATTGAGAAATATGTTATGTGCAGTTTCTGTTTTACGATTTTCAAGCTAAAATTAAACAGTTATTGTCTGATTTCCACGTTAACCTTTAACATCTATATTTTCTTTCCCCCATCTATGATTCTTAACGTAACCTATTCCCAAAGTGTTTACAATATTTCACCGGCATTTAGTGAAATATTGTGTTGATTGCGGCACAAAGAAGTTGTTTTTGTGCATGTTTGTTCTTGCTCTCAAGTGTTGGTTATATAGCAATGACGACAATTCTGAAATTATTATATTAATGTATTACAAATAGTTATGAATCTAATAAAATAGCATTAGTTAACTTAAAAAAGTTTTTCTTGTCTGGCAGTAATACATGTGGTGTATAAAACCGCGCGAGTAATTGATAGAAATTTCCGTGAGGTTAAGAAAGAATTCACGAATTCATAAAGTAGGTTGAATGAAATAAATCTATTACTTTATTATCTATGTAACATGTACAATTGTATACTGAGAAAACCATATCTATTATCATATGTTATGCAATTTAATTTTATCGTATTTTATTGAATACATAGTTCGAATAATATTTATTTTCTGATTGTGTTATATAACTCGAACATAATGCATCTGAGATTAGTAACCAGGTTCTTTCACGTATTCTCCACATCATTACTTTTTTTTTTAATATCCTCTCTAATGTTCTATAATTATCTTACATTTTGTTTTAAAATTGGTAACATAATCATATATACTTTCATTTACATCCTTGATATTAAACTTTATACTTTTTGAAGTTACATTCCAAACCTTGTTTTGGTACTACGTTTTATTTCATATTAATACAGCAATGTCTCGCGGCTTCTGTAGTCTTATTCAAAACAAACTAAAATAGTATGCATTTTTTATATGCTCGGATTTTTCTCTTCAAGGCTCTTCTTGTGCGATTTATTTTTGTATGTATTTAATTCCTCGATTAGTACGGTTTCAGACAGGAACGATTTTATTTCAAATATTGTATTATTAATTAGCAAAATATACTTAAATTTAATAGTAAACATCAACTAATTAAACTGTTTACAAAAAGATATTAATCTATAGAATAAATATTTGCCTTGAATTAGTATTAAAAAAACAGCAATAATTTTACTGAAATTAATATCTTAATAATCAATTTATAAAATTTATTCATTTTCTTATAAGTTTTTTTTTTAATTTATATTTTAGATAGGAGACTTCGCATTTCAGCAAAGTCCAACTAATCATGGCCGTTTGGTGTCCTTCCAACCAATCAGCATAGAAACAACAACAATTTTCTGAACTATCATTTAGCTAATCGAAATGTATTTAATATTTTGACACTTCCAAAACTCTACCTACGTCAAACAAAAAACTGTTGCTGTTGTCCTTAGTAAGCAATTAAATTGCAAATTAAGTGTATTTCTGTTTTTCTTTTAATTGAGCGGCTGCCACAAAATTAATTGCTCAAAGCACATGACATACATTTCTCGTTACTGTTAATAAATTCTACTTAAGAGTATAGAAATTCCGAAAAAAAAAAACGTTCGTATTTCCCATTGCATATCGGATATCTCTCATTACGTCGAGCATTTACCAGACTGAAACCGGTTGATTTGCAGTATTTTCAATTTTGTGTAGAAGCGCCCACTTTCTATTCCTACGTTTTAAATTATGTAGATTCATAATATTGCGTAAAGTAGACTTTGTTATACGCACACACAAAAAAAGGAAACTCGTTTTTGGAAAAAAAAAATTATAATAAAATATATAATTCGGTGGATTAAAGTTCATGATTATTTGTACGATTATCTCCGTTTCTCTCGCACTTCTGTGAAATGCTCTTGACCTCAAGTTTGACCATCGCGGCCGTTACGTTCTCCGAAGCGGTTTTCATTCACATTTTCCACGTTGGAGGAAAGAAAAGGTGTAATTTTTAGTTCAAAAAGAAGAACGCGTTAGGTTGTATTTACAAATAAACCTGTTGATCGCGACTGAGTTTAATTGGAATGTATATCGCGTAAATTGAAGGAAACTTTTGTTTTTGTTGTGTGAATATAATTAAGGGGGGCTTTGAGAAAAGAGGAACAATGTCAATGCGATTTTAAAATAAGTCTGCTAAAAATAATGAGAGCTAGAAGGAGACTCACGTGGTTTAAGGCATAAGCTAGAACGATGACCCATCCCCATCCCCCGTCGGGTGGCACCGTCTTCTTCCTTGGACTCATATCTAGGTTCACTATATCTAATCAAATATACTAGGATGGAAACAGCTGAACGAGATCGTCAGTAGTGGGACGCTCTCATTACACTGCTCTATACGATTTCGGTTATACTAAAAATTGGAAAAGATGACCATCACACTCTTATCGGATGAATTGAAGCGCGCGCCAACGACTATCCGCACGAATTACTAGTGATGCATGCGTTTCAATAAATCTTAAGTGGCGCAATTGAACGTTGTACTTAAGCGACCCGCACCTCGCACACAAATTAAACAGATCACGAAAATAAATAACTCTTCTCCTTGGCGACTTCTTTCACTCCTTCAAGTTCATGAATGATACTTGGATCTGATGTGTTGTGGATGTTTGTGTGCGTTTCTGCGAACGAAAATAAACTTTCCGAGCGCCGTAGTCAACTGGACTCGGACTGTGGTCCGCGCTCGAAACTCTGTTGGCTCTTACTACTATTTATTTCCCCTCCATTCGATTTTCTATACTTACTCCGTATTACACATTATTTACCAATTGATAAGAAATCTATATAGATTCTCATTACGGTGTTCTCAATAATTGCAGAACCACCGGCAGCGCACCTTCATTCCAAACTTCAAATCTAAGCAAATAGTTACGTGAACCTATCATAATATTTTGATATAATTGTAGAACATTGTCCGTTGCTTTTAACTACAAACCGACTAATATTATTCCAAGCGAAATCTAAATTAATTAAGAGAACTTTCAACGAAAATCATTAAAATAACAAATATCACTAAATAAACTAAAATAACTTTTTTTTAATCATTGATTGTGAATTATCTAACAATCATGATTCCAGCAACTTTCGATTGCGCTCGTAATGCACGCCATACGGCGATGACACCGCCTTTTCAACTCGACATTGATTCACGCTCAGTGAAGTGCTGTATCTGGATCACAAATTCAACTATAATATCCAAAATCAAGCATTTCACTTTCTACATTCTTTATACTTGCATCATATGTAATAGAAATGTGAGCGATTTAATAATTTGAATATCAATACAATTTAAAGTACACATATTTTCAAATGATAGAAAAGAAATATTCAAAAGCAAAATTCAAGACATATTTACATAGATATGTTACTTACATTTTTTTTCATGGAATTCCTCTTTTAGTTCATTAACCGCAAGTTAATTTATTAATATATTATTTTACATAAATTATAATTCATAAAATAAAATTCTATTTTATTAATAAAATTATTTCTAAACATAAATAACCAATAAAAAAGTATTTTAGTGATGTTATTGACTCCTTTAACTACATTTTTCATTCGGTTGCTGAGCTTCTATTTATATAATAAAAAAACAAGTTGATGTCACTTCTAACGTGTATTCGTTTCTCTCGTAAAATGTTCTATTCCATTGATTAAAGTCCGGTTTATTTAATTCTTAGTAAGGAAGCTGCCAAGATTCTTGTTTTCTTGATTTTTACGTTTGTTTCTATAAATAATTCATTCAATAATATAATGGAAATGACAAATTCAAGATCTGAATACCATCTGTGCCTTTATTTTCGATTTCAAAATTATGACCTTCGTTGTGTATACGAAATCGAGACAGAATATGGGGCAACGTTCGAGTTGTAATTGTATCGTCGATTATTAACTACAATTTTTTGTTGTGTTTTTATGTGAAAACAAATAAATTCAATTATATATATATACTGTTAAAAGTATATTCAAAAAATACCTCGCGTAGTGCGGCTTCCATCAATCCAGATTCACTATAAACCGGTTTGAAATTTCAAAACAAACTAAATTTTAATTGAAAATAAATTCTAAAAAAAATTGTACACAAAATTATTTTTTTCTACATAAATGTTTTTTATTTTATACAGTCAAGTTTCTTTTCGCACTTATTTCTATTTTATTTAGTACGGTTTCACACAGTGCTGGATATTGCGTTTACCGCACTATGAGAATTATTACTGTATTTGCATGAATCGCAATGAAGGAAAAACCAACTGCCATTGGTTTCTCCGTTGTTTGTTAAAATCTCTTGGATTTTTTTTAAGGGTTCATTGAAGATTTTAATTCAATAATTGCATGTAACATTAATTCAAAATTGGAAATACCAGCAATAATAATGTAGATTGCAGCAAAGAGAGAATTCGTAGTAACCAGTTATTTACAAGAGGAATGAGTCATCGCTCAAACTTTGTTTTCGATTCATGCACTGTGCACGATGCGTAAACTTTGTTTCATAATCAACTACATGTATCAATTTTATTTATTGAGTGCAAAATAATAAGAAAATAATTAATTAACAAAATTATCAATAAATACAAATACTAATATTATTTGTATTTATTGCCATTAGTTATTATGAAGGATGTCACTAAACGTATAAAATCTCATTCAGTCAAGTGTGAAAGTAAATTGATCGAAATCTACATGCATGTCAATTTATTCATTTAATTCGTTCATAACTAAATCAATTGCATCAATTTGCATATGTATATTATTAAATAACTCGCGAGATGCACGATGATAAATCAACAATGTTTCAGATTATTTCATCCGAATAAAATATGCATATTGTAAAATAATTTCATAAACACATTTCATATGGATTTCGATTAATATACTTCTGATTTTTTTAAATAACTATGTTCTTGTTCAGAAAGAGCAACGTTTTATTGAAATATTCAATTTGAAAAAACATAAATTTAATTTAAATACATTTCCGTGAATATTTATAATTTCACTTGTTCCATTATTTATTTGAAAAAATCTACTTTTTGTATATATAAAAGTTAATTTATACAGTACATTTTCTTTATAAGATATTGATAAGTAATTTGTGTAATTAGTTCAAATATTTGGTAATTTTAGAAACAAATACAATTACGAAAAGACTGGGAAACCACTTAAGGATTGATATTGCAAATATCAGCCAGACATTGCAATTGAGTGGAATTTGAGTTTATCTGAAAAACATCGTTCGGAAAGTTTTCTTATATACTCGAATGTTGTAACTGATTGTATCGTTGATTGATTGATAACTGTTTATCGAAGTCTAAACAAAACATTTTGTGCGTTAATTCATAAACAACTTTTTTTAGTCACTTTTTTAATACTTTGATTATAGAAAAGAAAATAATTAGTATATAATTATTAAATAAATAATGAGTAGACAAACGATCATTACATTTACTTATTTTGCTGCAAGTAATCAACGTTTTATAATGTAATCACTAGCAGTTTTGCTTTACCGAAATGATAAATATTTGAATGTAACCTTCGTATTTGTTTGTCCTTAAGATAATTTCAACTTTTCTGATTGGTCTTTAAATGTGTTTCGTAATATAAAATTGTTTATTTCCTTTGTGCAGCGTAAAAACCAAAAGTTTTACTGTAAATTTTCATTGTGTCGTGTAAGGTTTATTTTTAACAATAAATTAATCGCATGTTAATTATAATTTTTCTTTTTGTCAGGTTTATGTACTTTTTTTGTTGTTGAAGCCGCGATTGATATTGTTTATCGTACGGAAGGCTTGAAACAAACAAATTGCTGGGAAAAGAGACACAGCTATTATCCCGTCGATTTAATTTATTGTATCGTTCATTAAGTTAATATCCTCGTTAAAATAAAATTCATAAGCAAGGACAGTACAAACCATTCTATAAAGCCTTTTTATCTCCCGAAGAAACAACAAACACATTATATTACATATCCTTTCCTCGGGATTCCTGTACTATTTCTTTTTCTGCTGCTTCCGTGTGTGTATGACTAGAGTGGGAGAAAACTTGATGCAAGTTTCATTTCCTCATTGCTTTTCTGGTAGTTATGAATTTCTCTAGGGTCCAGGCTATAGTCGTCACGTAAGTCATAATGTTCAAAATATGTAAAGTTATCACATAATTATTAACTAAATCCCGAATCCAGCCTGAAAGAGAACGTTCAGTAATTATTTCCAATTAATTGATGTATTTGAGAAGACGTACCGACGACTGGGCCCATTAGCAGGAATAAAATACCGCTCGTTGCTAATTGCAAACCCGAAGCTGCTGGCAACCTCTCTAAAGGCACGTAAGAGGGTATCACTAAAGCCATGAAGATTGTCCGGAGCCCTTTTCCGAAGCCGATAATAATCGCAACGCCCAAAGAAACTGCGTAGGTTTGAGTATGCACCAATACTGAAATACAAGATAGTTGTTAGCGTGAGAAAACTCTGAGAATGAAATTAATTTACTTATTCTGCCGAAGGCCATGCTTAGGACGCCGAACAGGAAGAACGTTTTATTATCCCATCCTATTTTTCCTGCAATGAAAGGCACGAAGAAGCGGACGCAGATATCCGTCGCTCCGAGTAATGACATGAAAGTGGCTATCTGATACTTCTCGAAATGAAATTCCTTGAGGACGTACGGGGTTAGAATAGAAAAGTTCAATTCGGCAAAATTCGCGATCGTAATGCCCAGCATTAGATTCAAATAGATCGGATCCTTTAATAAGTCGAAATCGAAGAAGGCGCTCACTTTCTGCAGAAAGCTCAGCTCCTTCTCCTCTGTCTCCTCCTTATATTCTTCCAGCATCTTGGCAGCTGTTTTCAGCACGTCCTTTTCATTTGGATAAACAATCTCGTCTTCGCCTTCCTCTTGGATCACCGGTTTATCAAAGTTCTTCCTCTTTTTGTCTCCTCTGATCTCAGTCAAGTTGTTATAGGAAGGCCTCTTCGAGTTGGCGAATGAGTTCTGACCCGAAGGTAAACGGGATCGAGACAGGGAAACCCGAGAACCCATCAAAGACCTCGAGTAATAACCATCATTTGCACCCACCATCCTCGGAGTACCAGGATCTATGATCTCGTAACCGGTGCTTATTGCATCATCCTCGTTAAATAAATATTGACTGGTGAAAAGGCTTCCCGTTTTCTCTTTGCTTTTATTTTCTTGAATCAAAGGTTTGGCCACTTCCTAGAATGCAATTACAATTAACAATATGAACATTCAGTGTTCGCAATTCAACCTCGACATCTCTGAACTTGGTGTGCCAATGAACAGGCTGCAAAAGCAGCGAGCAGACTATGGCGTGTCCTGCGAACGCGGCGAATATCATCAACGTTCCTTCCATTGCGTAGATGGACATTAAGGCTGTGATGATGTAGGGCCACACGATGGGCCCCATCGCCGTCGTACTCCAGGAAAATCCCGTGGCGAGCCTCCTGCGATCCTTGAAATAAGTATTCAGGGCGAGCGCATTCGCGGATTGGGTTATTCCGATTCCGCTACCTTAAATGAGTTTTATTTAAATCAGTTGCAGATTGAAAGACATGCATGGCATACCGTAGAACATCGAATAGACTATTAAATAGCCCCAGAAGGATTGGCAGTAAGTCGTGAAGTACAGGCTGACCGACACCAAAGTAGCACCGAAGAACGCCACTTGTCTATAGGAAAAGTATCGAAATAGTGGACCATTGAGAAGACCTATTCATAGAAATTAACAGATAATAGTACAACTTTTGTGTTCTTAATTTTCAATACACTCACCCACGCATGCATTGAAAGCCGAGTTCAAATTGATAACTGTTGTAGTTTCCGCATTGCTGATGCCCAGTTGCTCGAACTTTTCACGGAAGAGCAGACCGAACTGCTGGAACATGGGAAACGTACTCAGCTGAAACAATAAATAACATTACTAAACAAAAAACAAATAAATTCATCCATCATGGTGCATTATTAAAAAGTAGTCAAAATTATGTACATAATCTAATAAACTAAATTATTTTATTTGTTAATAATTAATTAACTACCATTCTACCATCATATCAAAATGTTTTAATACTCAAATCAATTTTGTAATATAAAAATATATGCATATAATTATTTAAATAAATAGCTAAAATTTATAGTTATTGATTATTAATAAATACATTCTGAAAATTAAAAATAATCATTGAAAGAGTACCTTTGCAATTATTGTTTTATAATTGAAAGAAAATTAAAATATATTTAATTTTGTACGACTGTTGAAATAATCTTTATTATTATAAATAAAAGTTAAACCTCATTTTTATTAAATATTGTAAAAAAGTTATATATAACTGATGGACATTGTTCAAGACAAAGCTGATTCACTCATGGTCGAATAATGAGTTATACAACTGTAAGTACACATTCACGTTCACAGAGAAAGAATGACAACTCTATTGTTGTTTTTCAAACGGGTGTTCTTTTTAATTAAAACGTAGAACAACAGTTGATATATTGATTGAAAATTAGAAAAAATATTAAAACCGGAGCTAATAAATAGAAACTGATTATGGAATTATTAGAATTTGATTACATAAAATATATTTAGTTAGGAGCCAAAAACAAAATTCAAATTAATTGAAATCAGTTGTTTAATAACAACTCTTATAGTTATATTTGAATGATGTTATTGACATTAAATATTGTTTTATAGAACAACATTGATTTTTACGGAAAATGTAGTTATATTGAAAAAAAAACACATTCGATTAGTTCAGATCTGTAATGAAAATGATTACAATCACACAAGTGATTGCTTGTTAATTTGATTTATGGATAGTTTACATTACTGAAGCCGCAGGCCAACACGATTAACCAACCCCATCCTCCGTCGGGCGGTGCGAAGTCCGGATCTCCAACCCTAACACGTCTTTTCCGATCACCCACAGTGGTCCCATCATCCGTCTTGACCATCTCTGAAACAATGGAACTCTCAGTTGATGATCCACACTTCAAAAGCGTTCGATCGCGTTTGCCGCTTCATCCCGTGCGGTTTCCGTGCGAAAACCAACAATAAAAATGCATTTTCGAAGGTTGTAAATCATAGCTTCGCCGCGTGATTAAACCCACCTGATTGTCCGCAAAAGACAATAATTGTTTACTGCATAATTGAGTAACAAATGAACAATAACAAAAAAACAAGAAATATATAAATTTCCATGATGTCGTATCGATGATGTTATCTAAAAGAAATGCAACGAAATTATATTATAAATGAAACAAAAACAATAAAAATACAGCACACGCATATCATAGATTAATTCCTCAATTTAGACTGAGACACATTTAGATAAGAATGTATTCATTTAATATATTGTGTAAACACACACGCATGCAATTATGAACCTTTTATTGGATACAATTTAATTACTTTTAGATTCGCCAGAATCGCAATTTAATCTTAGTTTCGTATTGATTTACGCGGCGCTGAAAGTGCTTCGATAATGCACCAACTCATTGGATTACTTCAGGAAACTGAGCGATTTGCTTTATTAGCGCACAAACTTTATCTAACTTTTGAAATTGATAATAGCAAAGCAACTAATTATATTTTTATTTATTTAACAACTCAAACAACTAATCGGATTTCAGATACATTTGCTTCTCGATCATTTTCTTCACTTAGGAAAAAAAAGTTTTAAATGACTTTTCAGTTTCAAGCCTGAAGCGAAATGCAAATTTTTGAAGGTTTAAGGATGAGATCGTAAAGTCATTTTTGTTTGTGAAACTATGATTATTATTAAACTGAATTAACTTAAAAAAAGATTTATTATCTTTTTATAATGTTTTTTGTTTAATTAAATACTTACCTTAATTAGGTTTGTGGAATAAATCCAAGTGCACTTTATAACAAAGAACTGAGAGAAGCGTGTGACAACCTATACGGTTGAAACAGTTCTAGTACAATTGACTCACTGCTATCTGCAACAAAGTTGACTAAAGATAAATAACTAAGTAGTCAGAATCATTATCAGCGCACAAATTACAATATAAAAATGAAAACTGAAGTCCAATCGGCGACGAGGAAACTATGCGTGGTCGATCCTAATTGTTTCGCTTGCCCACTTCAAGTATCAAAATCCTATACAATGTTTATTTGAAAATTTTACTTCAATTGTGTTGCCATAAAAGTTTACAGCTTTGATTAGGATCAGGCCTTGGATGCGTGTAATTTAAGCTGATCTCATTGCTCTATCGTGATCAGGATTAGTTTTCGTACATCTCCCGCACTTTTCTCGCACAATGGTACAGAGCGTATTGCAAAATCCATAGCCGAACATTTTATTTATCGGCATACACGGAACATCAATGGCAGCTCAAATAATCTACAATGTAATTGCAATAGTCAATTATACTTACATCACCGACGATAAAAGAATCAGAACGTTTCAGTGAATTTCAATATCTTTCATTTTTTAATTGCGTCGTTTTTAATACTTATGAGTCCGATGTTTCATATCCACAAACGTATATCTCCGATTGTTAATCGTTTAGGTATTAATGATTAAAATTGCTACTTACTTAATATTCTCAATTAATATCTAAATCATTGAATAAATGTATCAGTAGAAAAGGTTTGATTTCAGACAAAAATTATGAATATTTTGGTTCGTTGATATTAAAAAGAGACATATTTATCAAACATTTTTATAATATTTAAATAAAATGAAATTAAAGTTTCAACAGAAAATCAACAAGTTGATAAGTAAAAAAACAGAAGAATATCAAAAACATTTTAGTAACAAAAATAAGTGTATATGTGGTTGAGAATTTATGGTCCTTCAATTTGGCTTGGTTTCTTTGGCGATAGTAAGTAATCAACGGTCCATAAGGCAACGCAGAATAAGGAAAGAGCAGTAGCTACATGTAAAGAGTACACGTAAGATTCGCTGATGTCGTGGGACCAGCCTGAAAAAAAAAGAATTATTTGTTTCGAGTTGAGGATTTTGTTTTGTTTTTTCTTACCGATTAAGGGACCTAAAATCAAAGATAGGATACCGTTGGATATCATGTTTAGGCCGGTAGCTGCGGCTAATCTGTCCGGGCTCACGTGTTTGGGTATAATGACGGATTGAAAGACGGCTTTGATGCCTTTGGATAACCCGACGATGGCACAAGCCAGGAACACGACGTAGTATTCACCGTAGTATATGGATAGCACTAAAAGAATATTTTATTATTTTTTGGAGTCGATGCGTTGCGATTGACTTTACCTGTCCTCCCTAATGATGATCCTAGCAATGAGATGATGTACATGACTTTTGATGGAACGCCACCCCTATGAGCGATAATCGGGATAACCAGCCGGCCTATGATATCCGCAGATGCTTGCACGCTCATCGCGGTGGCTACGTCCTTTTTAGCAAATCCCGCCAACTCATCGAGAATGAACGGCGTCATTAATATAACGTTCAGTTCGGAAACAAAGGAAATACCCATGCCTATGATTATGATCACGTATACACGATCGGCAAACAGTTCTAAATCCAGCATTTTAATAATTCCAGCGCATCGACGCTGTTTATTTTTTGCGGGAACTGTTGTTTCACGATAAACCGGTGACAATAACCGCTCGGAGACATGACCCTATTTGAACAATAATAAAATAAATGCTGGGCATTCGCACACGCAATTCTAATGGTGTTATTACCTTCTCACTGGACTCGAGTTCGTGATCCGATTGAGTTTGCTGGACGGGCGGTGGGTCCGGTTTCTTTAGGGGTCTTAGCAGGATCGCCATCGGGATGACATTCAGTGATATTCCAGCGAGAATCAGGATCGTACCCTGAACATCGTACTCCTCCAGCAGGAAACGGCACACCTGAGGCATGAATATCTGAGTTAGAGAAGCCCCGGTCACCTGCACGCTTATGGCCAACGTCAAACGCCGCTTGAAGTAAGAATTCACGGCTATATACATTCCAGGCATCAAAATTCCTTGACCTGCCCCTATTAACAAAACAAAATAAAAAAATATATATAATTTGCAGAACAAATCTGGACTTAGTATATATCCTTGAGGTACACCATTTTTTAAAATATATCGGGTAAGCTCATGTTAATATTTTTCTATTTTATGCAATATTTGCAATGTTCATACAACATGTTTCGAGGGATAAAACTTTTTTGCTGAAAAAGCAATGAATTTTCAATAAAATTGAGCGTGTTTGCATATAATTGACCCGCCCACAACCCTTCCATTACAGGATGTGCGGGTCACTATAGTAAATGTGTTTTATATCCATGTAAAATAATTGAATTATAATAGTAAATACATTTTAGTAAAATGTAACGCGCAACTAATATAGCACTTTTTTAAATTCATTTAATTCAATGTATTAACTCAATCCATAATCAAATAAGCAACTATTCAGATAATATATATTTATCTGAACGTATCTCTACAGAAAGTGTCTATATTTTTAATTAAATTTGATATTCCATTTATTTATTGGGTTTAATCTAGTTGAATTTCTTCCGTTCTAAACACGAAAAAAAAATCGAATATGAATTCTCAATGGCATTGCGGACCTATGCAACCCAATCGACTCCAAATAGCTTTACGGAATCGGCATATATAAACCAGGTTCTTGAATAAATTTGAATACGCTCTCTCGAATCTTGCATTTTCTCCTTCCGCAACTTTCAATGAATTTAATTAAGGAATAAATTGAAAAATCGGTAAACATGTTTCTCTCATTCTCCAAAGAATTCACACGTAAACTGAATAATGCATAAGCCGCTAATGTTACCATTCTTTGACGAAAAAAATGAACATACTAACTACTTTCAACAATGAGAAGATATATGTTCAAGTCCCACGCTATTGGAATATCTCGAAAGATCATTTCATACATACCTCGAACGTACCTATTATGATGCCAACTGTTACAATCAAGGCTTCGTAGCTTTTAGCGAAAGCCGTTGCTAATATACCTAAGCATACCAGACATGATCCCATGAAGGAAACTTGCCGAAAGTCGAAGCGTTTCAGTAAAGGACCACTGAATAAACCTGAAAATAACAATGTCATGAAAATCCTTGAAAAACGTGTAAAAAAATTATACCTAAACTGCACATCACCGAGTTGTTGAGATGCAGAAGAAACGAAATTTCCGCTGCGGTGATGTTCATGTCTGAGAATTGTTTTCCGTAGATTATTCCAAAACATTGTGTCAAAGGCAGCAGACATGACTGGAACAAGAAATTATTTCATTAACATTTCATATAATAGAAATCCCGCCGCTCCTGTAAATATTGACCCAATTACCATAATAATTGTACACTACATAATACGAGATAGTACGTTATCTGGTGTAGATATAACATAAAATATGAAAATTATTTGTACCAAAAATAGGTGTATGCACAGACAGTTTAAAATACCAAATTTCGTAAACATATATTTTATCTAAATTTCCAACTATAATTGTTTAATCTTTCTCATAACATAGTTGTTTGATGTTAATTACTGTAATTACTATAAACTAGCAAATTGAGGTTTAATAATTGAATGTTATTTGATTCATTTGCTGTATTAAGTAATTAAAGCAATGAATAAATCCCACTTAACTTAAGTTGTATTTATAAAAATAAAATAGTAGTGATAATTACATTGATAATTAAGAAGCAAACCACGATGACCCAACCGTAACCACCGTCCGGGGGTGCTGTGGCGGTGATAGTCATTCTGTTGGCCATTGTTTCAAAACGAGCGGAAGAAATCACATACTCGACAGACGCGTCGTGAGAACAAAATGCACACGAGATTTATATCAGATTGATATGATAAAACACCTGATAGACAGATAACTATGAGTTGCGCAAATTTAATTAAGGTCTCTACCAAACAACGAACAGAACAGAACTGAACTTAGCCCAATCCTCGACCGATCCACAAACTGTTTAATTACTCACTCATAGCCTTTGTGCGTACAGCGGTCAACAAATTGAGATAAAGGACCATTTACATGTTTTCAAATGTTTTGATAAGAAAGCGCCCTGCACCCTGCCTTATCAACCGCCATCTCATGATAAACTATATTGTTCGATGCACTATTGATTGTTTATTATGTGAAGTAACCTTCAACAATTGCTCATATTTAGGTTAATGATTTTTGGAGCAGCTAATTTAAAGTTCGCTACACTTCAATGCACCATCTATCCCACAAATACCAAGCTATGTACAAACGGAAATAGAACTTACGTAACTTGCGTATGCAACCAAATGAGCACAATCTTATACAATTCATGCTACAATAAATGTATGCAACCGCCACAACACATAATTTAACCAACATTTGTAAAGTTCATAGATTGCATTCAAAGGCAGCGTTTGAAGAATATGAAAGAAACTTCAATGAATTTTCACCAGTTAATAATTCATATTGTTAATTATATAAAGTACGTGTACTTTATATAATTAACTTGATTTTATTGATTACAAAACATAAAATTTAATTTATTTAATTTAATAAAAACAATTTGTATCCAGTGATAACAAAATATTAAATTATATAAATATAATAATAGCCAAGGTCCGTTTACAATATAATTTTCTAACAATAGTTCAATCAATCTCAAATAGATAGCGCAGTGATCGTTAATTATGCAATCCAGATAATATTTATTTTTTCAAACATTTTGCTCTTTATGTTCCTTCAATTATTTATACATAAATATATTATTGTTGGATACATAAAGTTTAACAGGACTTAGAAAATATGTGTATATTTGTTTTAAGGAATTTAACAGTTCATATTTAACGAATTCCGCCAATATTTGAGCATTGTTATTAAATGTTTCTATTTTAGTAACTACTCCATAATGGAATGTAAAAAGTTGTTCTAAAAATAAACATCGTATATTATGGTTATTATTATGTTTTATTGGTCAAGAAACAGGAAAATTACAATGATATTTTTTAATTTATTTTTTAACCAACGTTTTATTTTTGACGTAATTAACAATATTTCTTTTACAATGTGAGAAGTAAACAATAATAGTAATGTTTATTGAAACTATTGAAATTTGAGGAAAATCCTTATTTCATAAAAATAAATAAATGTTATTATCTGATAATTGTTAGGTAAACAAATTTAATTATGTTCAATGATTATTTTTTAATATCAGTGGAGGTTATTTAAGTTTTAGAAATCTAATAATGATTTAATTAGTAGTTATTAAAGTGTTGTTTTTGTGGACATAAGGTATGAGATATTTGGGTGTATTCTGTGCTCGTTCTTTGTAACTTCCTATTTACAAAATTGTTGTCTGGCAGTATCGAGTTTATGTTTGACCGACGGTCGTTGCGTCACCGAGAAACACCATCGAAAATAGCCTTTCCCCCGATACGTGTGTATCCGAAAATAATTTTCGCAAACTCGCTAAAAAGCTATTTGTTGTTTGCACAGTTAGCGTCCCTTAAGAACCACAAGAGCCGACGATAACGCGCGTTAATTGATTGAGCAACAAAAGTATAAATAAATAAATCAGGATCATATCAGGAATGCGTGCTCGAAGGTGTAACGTCATGTTGATCATCATCATCGAAAGGTGAATCCGAAATCGGTAAACACCGAAAACAATATGCATGAGCGAAAACCGACTCAAACCTGTTACATTTAGTAAACACAGTCACGCTGTTGATACAAATCATTGGCTCCTGTCGTGTCCCTCTCTTATATAAGTGTAGTAAAAATAAAATTGATTTTTTTTCAAAATTTCCTATCTTGTTACTATCTGTGATTTGTAAAAACTGTCGTTGGGCGAATTTCGGGTCATGTCACGAAATGTTTGTTGTTGCATCGCGTATTGATGTCTCCCACTTACGTCGAAACGCCGGCTCGAGTACTCTGTATATCAAATATAGCGGTTAATTCGGTACTTATACCTACTTCAAATCTCGTCGAGAGCAGTGGCTATGGTACTTACGATGGAAGCGCTGCTCTGAGATAGTGCCAACAATAGAGGGAAAAAGCTTCCTCTCAAACTATAATTCGCTAAAGTGATGAACTAAGAAAACTATTAATATTTTAATCACAATTCAGGTAAGTTCACTTAAAAAAAAAATCATAACATTTTCACTACCAATTTAAAGGAATATTATATTAATAAAATATTTCACAAAATCAATGTTTTAATAATTAATTTAGATTACTTTTTAATTTATTGACATTATAGATTTTTTTTATATTAATGCATTCATATACAAAACAAATATTATTTTCTGCGCTATCTTATAACTTCATGCAGTATCATGATTATAGTTTCATTTATTAACATCGCGAAATAACAAATTAAATCCATGTCATTAATTAGAAACAAAGCCTATTAAGATATACGAACATACTTAATATTCTATAAAAAAAAACATTCTTTATGATAATAATATCAGCACTTTTTTTCCATAAAGATGTGCATGAATTAATCATCGCATTTGCGTTTACAGGAAATGTCACTATCAGCAGCATTTAAATGATTCACTCGAAGCGTTGTTAATTTCATATAGATAATTAATTCTTCACGCGCGTTCATAAAGAAAATGTACATGAAATTTTCCGCTAATTATCATACGCTGTTCAAAGTCATTGAAATCGATTGAACGTTTATTTAACTCAATCAATATTATTATTATTATTTTTTGCTTTATTGCGACTATTTTTAAACTTTGTATATTGACTTGCATTTAATTTGAATACATTTTTTTTAAATAAATTTTCTGCTAAAAAAATAATTTTTTTACTTCGTAATTTCATAATAATTATTATTTTTATTTGAAATTTCATTTGATTTTAAAAAACGCAACTTGTTTTCTGCAAAAAGTTTCATTATCGTACATGCATTAAATTAATTGTAAAGAATCTAAAAATAGAACAAATGTCCAAATAAAAATAAGAATGATGCGTAATGAAAATGTGAATAATTAAGAGTTAAAAAAAAAACGATTTGTCAATTTTTGTATATTGTAATTAATTTTTTAATAATTATAAGAAAAATAAATCGTTTCTTAAAATAATTTGGTGAAAACAAACTCACTTTTAGTAATATGTCAAAACAGAGGACGATTCAATTAAGAAACACATCATGCGTTCTGAAAAGTTTACAATTTTAACGTTATTTCTGTATATGTTGGTGAAAAGCATTTATTTGAATGCAAAATCTATTAATAAAGTATGGAAAACTCGCTTCAATTGAGACATTTTTAATGTTGGTCGATTTTTTTAACCTTGGATCGTTCAAAAATAATATGAAATTATTAACTTCAATTAGCTTATTTATGTAAAAATATTGTACGAATTGGATCAAATTACATATGTCATAAAATTAGACGGTACGAGTATTTCCTGTCTCTTAACATATCTCTAAAATACTTGTTATATAATCACATTCTTTTTTTCAAAATGAAAAGATAAATTACTTTAACTTGTATAATGAATACATATGAATTACATACATATACAAATTATATAGTAAAAAAAACAGATTTAAATATAGTTTAGTTTTTTGTATCAAACTTTTTGGTCCATAGATTTTTGGCTCTCATTTGGACATACAAAACCCCCCGAACAATAGGTATGTGTAAAAAAACAATCAGAATTGATCTGACACACATTTTGAGAAGACACACTGATTTAGACAAATGAGTTCGCAAGAAAAATGTTTGATTTATGAAAATTTGCAAATATAACACTTTGACCTTGAAAAGGAAACAGTAGAAGCAGCTAGGGAAATAACTCAATGAATTAGACGATTCAAATCTACCTTTAATATAGTATTAATGACATTAACTTGTATACGTTATAAGAATTACATAGAATTTGGAATATAAACTTTGAATATTTCTGTGAAGTCAGTGAATGCAATAACACATAAATAATGAAACGGTATTCAATATTTCATACGTAATTGTATTCGCGTGTAAGGATTGCATTAAATTAAAATTTATTGTTGTCGAAACACGATGATAAAGGCGTGCATGAATACGAAAAGGCCTGATCAATAAAATGATGTGTATTATCGCCATACTTTTCCGTTCGATCCATGAAAACCTTTCAGAAAGAAATTGCCTCTGCACTTAACCAATAAATATGAAAAGTTCCACATGACCTATGCGTAATGCAACAATCCATATGATCCAATTCCAGCTGACTTAATTAAGATTATTTTGTATAGGAATATTTTGTTGTAAAAGCAATTGCAGATTAAATGACTTTTGTAATTACTTCCATCAACATTTCTTTGTTTTTGTGGTGAAGGAAGCACTAATTCAATTAGCGCGAATGTATGTTGAAAGTGAGACCTCTCTGCTCATCTGCACGTTCGAGCCACATGCTATAGATATTTTTGTTTCATGTTGTTTTTTTTTTGCCATCATCCTGATTATAACGGCCACATGTGTTCATCACTTTTAGTGGAGAAGTTAAACTGGCGAATTAATTATGGGAGAAGCATTACGGAATTGTTTTTCGTTGTTGTGGTAAACCGCATTGGAGCATCAATTTACTTTATGTCTCTACACAATAGAGTTTCTATTCATCTGGGGTACATCAATCAAATATAAACTACGTTTTTAAACGTTACTCCTTCACTTACCACAAACAAAAAACTTAGAAATTATAATTTTCAAATCAGTTTATTTCGAACTATTTTTTTAAAATTCTAATTAGATAATTAACCGAAAATTATGAATTAAATTGTTGATATGCACTTGATGCTATTTATATTGCCTTTGTTCTATATTAAATAAGTAAAAAATAGATTTTGGGTAATCTTATCGGGAAATCACATTTTTTTTAAATGCAACTATAGAAATATTTGTTTTTTTGTAAAAGTTGTTGCAGTTTAAGAAAAAATACTCTATACATTGGGACCAAGTTATTTGCATTTAAGATCATTAGTTATCAAATGTAAAGAATAAAACGAAAAATAACATATTTTTTAAAAGTGAGAAATTGGTTAAATTTATTTGAAATTACATAAAAACAAATTCATATTTTTAATTTGATTTCTTAAATCATCATCATTAAATTATCAAGTTTAAAGTGCTTTTTATACACCGGTGAGTTTAATACATGGAAAATAACATGTATCTTAACCAGCTACTGCTATCTATGGGTCAAAATGACCAATTTCTTAAATATTTCAAAAAAATAGATGAAATTATAGATTTTTACCATAAACATAGAATTTAACATCATTTAAAACTGATTATATTGCTCAAAATAATCTGGACATTTCTTTTAGCGAGTTGAAAAAATTAGTCTCTTGCATATCTCACAAAACCTTGCTTTTGTTTGGACAAAAAAAGTACTTCTTCCTTTTCGTTGTAGGAATTCGTTCATTAGGTTGTGTTTCAACAGGCATTTTAACCTGTATGATGCAATCAGAAAACTAAGATTTCGGGGATTTTTTTTTGGTTTCGCAGTTGATCATAGATGTATGGTTCATTGGTCAAAATTATGACCCAAGGACTATCAAATCTTTGTTAAAATTAACTAAAGATCTTTTAAATTTTTATGATAAAGTTAATTAATAAATTTAAGATGCGTCTTATATGAAAAATAACATGTTTATCCAATTGTGAGAAATTGGAGCAGAAGTATTACTAATAAAACTCTGATTCGTGTACTATCTAATCTGGTTACGTAATAAAATCGATATGCAGTTTTAGCACGGATAACTCAATGATCTTAATTGAACGCGCTTAATTTTAATAGCTTTAACAAAGAGACCGACATTTGAGCATAAACAATCTATTTTTTTTCATGTATGAAATTGCATCTCATGTCACATCAAATGAATATAAACTTCGTCTATGAAAATTCCATATACTTTAAACATTCAATATAAACTTTCTTAATTTAGAACACGCAACTTTACGAATCATTGCATGATGCAATTTGCATCTATACTTTCATAAATTATTGAATCTTTTATCTTTCAGAAATATTTGTATAATTTACAGCAGAAACATTACTTTGAACGACGAATTTGTTAGCTGAAAATTAATTTGAATTAAAATGTATAATTAAAGGAACCTTCTGCAGTCGCATTGTAATCGATAACCGCAACTAGGATTTCGCGGAATGTGTAAACAATTCACAATGTAGCCAATAATTGGTGCATAGAAAATCGAACGTATGTATCTGCAAACAAAAAATACGATAATGTTTGTGTTAATAGCAGAGTCAATATTGGAGGTGCAATTAGTGCAGCATTCTCTTATTGCGAGGCAAAAACAATATTACCGGCATTATCTGTTACAATTATGGGAGCAATGTCAAGAAGTATGTCTATAACAAATAAATGGATCACATCTCGGCCGAGTGTAGATGCATTCAAGAAGTACAATAAATAATCTCATCGGATTTGGGTCAATGATCAAAAACAAACACAGTTTTGATGTAATCAGGTGTTGGTAATGTTTTATTTTTCTGCTACTTAAATCAATAGGTATTCAATAAGTAGTGGAGGTATTTTATTTGTTTGGAACAACAATCAATTCAGTTTTGTGAATTGCGTGAGTGTTACTAGTAGTAGTAGCAAATGGTGTTCATTCGATTAATAAAAATCAATTTGATTACAAAATCAATCCAAGTAATCTATGATTAATAATTAGTAAGTACAAATTTGATATATGAATCTAAATACTGAAATACCTGGCATAGTTCGGTTAATCGGTTTTGTCAACTGTTGAAACCGGACTAATAGAGGACTTTAAAACTGCACAAAAACGTTACTATAAAGCGAAAAAAAAAAATATATGTAGTGTGTTTAAAAAAAAAATTAATTTTGACAATTTGTCAATTTAGTTCTATTTAAATTTTTAAAACCGGACTATAGGGAATCTGGACTGATCGAAGCTGTAGTATTCAAGGTATTGGTTCGAAAAATATGGTAGTTAATGATATGAATATAAAGTAAATGTGTGCAAATTATTTTATTATTTTGAATAATTTTGTCGTTATAATTCTATTTCTGGTTTGATAAAATCAAAGTGTATTTGCAAGAAAATAGCTCGAGTTACAAAAATAACTAATCTATTAATATAAAGTCGTAAATATCCTCGACCTTACTCATTGCGGTAGAACAAAGATTTTCGTTTATATCGAGCTAAAGATGATTCTTTGTCTGAGGCGATGACCCGGTAGGTCGTCTGCGTGCAATCCCCTAGGAGCGTGGACCCTGCGATGGGCAACCCGCGTTATCCAGAAATCAGCTGTGGGGACGACGACGTCGGCGCGTGCCGTCGTCACGTGACGACGCGCACCGCGAGCCCTTCGGGATCGATGGCACGGGCGAATCCTCATCCCGAGTCCGATCAGTTGTTCAAACACCTTGACGGACACCGGGACCTCGTGAGATGAGTACGTATCCTGAATATCATAAATATAATATTTTTTTATACACCTTCGCCGGAAGGTCCCAACTCGGGGAACGCATCAAAAATTGCAATAACACAAATCAAGACAAAATTATAATAACATAAAAAACAAGAACCTTTTTTTGAGGTAATCATCTTATAAGAGCTAAGCTTAGATTGACTGCTATTAGGGCTTCTTTGTCTTTTCTGGTATGGTAATATGCGCGGTCGGAAATTTCCATCGCGATTATCGAATTCTGCTTTGATGGATTCCTTTTCGGCTGCGTTGCGCAAGTCGTCGGACTCGGTGTGGTTACCTTGAACTTGGGATAGGACCACTTCGTGTCTGCGACCCGAAAATTACCTACCACAAAATTTGGGCCGTCTCGAGTTGCGTTCATTCAACAGCGAGAATCTTTCCGACATGAATCTACCAAAACAATGAATAAAAAAAAACACACACAGACTACATTCTTGAGAATATTAATTTTGAACAAAGAAATTGTATCACTTTTATATCAGCAAAATTCAATAAACTTTATATTCATCTATCCTATTTATAATTAATTTTAATTTAAAGAAAGTTAATAGCTGATTTATTTTTATAAAAATCAATAAATATGAATTCATTGATTTGCGTCATGTGTTAAAAATCATGCATGTATTGCATTGTTTATATAATATTTTTTCATTAATTTAAATATAATAGATCTTTGAAGTCATTTTCTATGAAATATTTATAACTTTTTTGTATAACAATCATAAAAAAAATGAATCAATCAAAAATAAATAAGAAAATTCACTTAATTATTAATTCATATTGAGGAATAAATATTAGCTAATATAAATTTCAAGAAAATATTGACTAAAGTGATTATTTTATTGAACAAGAGAATTCATTATAAAAAATAGTGATTTACAAAAGTCTGAGAAATTTCTCCTATATAACTTGTCGATATGGATAAAAGTGTAATAGTTTATTATATAATTTGTTATAACAAATTTCTGACGATTTAAATCTTTTATGTAAAAATACACGTAAATGTTCATAAATAACTGTAATAAATAAAAATTTAATTAGTTTCTGGAATATTACTTGATTCATTCATTTGACACATACAGCAATTATTACATCGCAAATCGTGCATGCGCTTGAAAAAAATGTAAATAAATGAATAAAACTTAAATATATATTTATTTTTGGTTGTTTGAAGTTTTATGCGCTTGTAAAGATTCCATTGAATTTAACGTATTTTTATATATATATATTTATTGATCGTTAAATTAAATCATGCGTGCAAAAGAGAAACAATTGTTATTGTTTAATTTATGAGATGTTCGTCGTGCCGTTCGGATGTTGCGATTTGCACAATACGCACGTCGTTATGTAAGCCGGCAGCCGAGGGAAATCGATTTCGCGCCGTGCCGTGCTCATCGCCACGGTTACGCAACCCGCCACCCCTCTGCGCTGCCACGGGATCAGGATCTGGGACGAAGACCTAGAAATCTTGACCGACAGACGGACTCGTCGATCCACACCTTAACGTAAACAAATAAACCATCGACGCAATGAAAAACACAATAACAAAATAAAAATTCAATAACCATTCAACATTGAATATGTTACATAATTGATGGGTGCAAATCTTTGACGTTTCATCAATTGAAAAAAAAAACTTACCTGATTCTTAGCACAATACGTTATAATATCGAAGGCCAATGTGATAAGTTCAACAATCATCGTCATTCTTATAGAAATTGCTCGATTTTTTTTCAAACCGTGTTGTAATACAACATCAATATTTGTGTTACAGATTTATCGGTAAACAAAATAACGATAAAATGTTTACCTGTTCCTTTTTCTCTCTTTGTTAATGCAATTTATTATACGGACGTGCGTTTCGCAGCAGTAGCACAAGGTATAAACAATATTATTTAATTACAATTCAAAGCTGCTTGTTTTTGTTTGTTTGCATTCTATGCGGGAATTATATTAATATGCCGGTTGGAAGACGCGCATTTCGCTTCTAATTAAGTCAAAAAAGTCTTAATTCAATTGGATTTCATTCAACAATATTATTTTGGCGCAAATTTGTAAAGCCACGAAGAAACGGAAATTTAATGAATCCTATTGTGTTCGTGGACACTTTAATTGAATTCTGTTACATAATTAATAGCTTCTCCGTTTTGTATTCGCTCAGTTGGGGTTTATTTTTTGTTTGTACGTCCTTGCGAATTTAGGTCAACTAGCACAGGACATTTGCACAAAACAAAAATCGATATTGCACATGCACTGAAACCGCTTGAAATTTCGTATTGTGGATGTATTTAAGCAAACACTGCTGTATTAAAATTGAATATTTCCTTATGGTTAAATTAGTTATTTTTTTGCAACAAATAATTTTATTTTATTATAATAATTGCAAATTTTTGAATGTGTATATTTAAGATTGAAAAACATTAAGAAAAAAAAATGATGTACAAAATTATATAGAATTATTAAAAATTATTATTTAATGAATAAAGATAACTTTATTTAATCTATTTCAGCAAATAAATTACGATTATCTCATAATCGATGCAAGATAATCTATACAAATATAGTGTGCTATTAGTATATAATATAATACTTGAATCAGTCAATAAAATGTAAATTATTTCAAATTTTGTTAATAAAAAATGTATTCTTCTAATTAAATTTATAAAATGTATTGATTCTTTCGACTATCGACCGATGTTATCTTTACTATTTATAGGTAAATAATGAATTTAAATATACAGTAATACCTCGCATAGTGGGGCTTTGACTAGTCCGGATTCAGTATAGGATTTTTTTTTTAATCTGTAAACAATAAATATATTCAAATAAATAATTAATAAAATTAAAAATAGTACACAAAATTACTTTTGTATCAATTTATTTTTGTGTGGTTTTCTTAGATTAGTTCGGTTTCAAACAGTACGGTATATTGGAACTGCATAATTTGAGGAATAGCTATACTTATTACATACTGATAAATTGTCAATATAAATATACAATAATACCTCGCACAGTGCGGCTTTGATCAGTCCGGATTCAGTATAGTAATTTTTTTAAAATAAACTAATTGGTCAATCTGTAAACAATAAATATATTCAAATAATTAATAAAATTAAAAATAGTACACAAAATTACTTTTGTATCAATTTATTTTTGTGCGGTTTTCTTAGATTAGTTCGATTTCAAACAGTGCGGTATATTGGAACCGCATAATTTGAGGAATAACTATACTTATTACATACTGATAAATTGTCAATATAAATATACAGTAATACCTCGCATAGTGCGGCTTTGATCAGTCCGAATTCAGTATAGTAAAAATTTTAAAATAAACTAATTGGTCAATCTGTAAACAATAAATATATTCAATTAATTAATAAAATTAAAAATATTACACAAAATTACTTTTGTATCAGTTTATTTTTGTGCTGTTTTCTTAGATTAGTTCGGTTTCAAACAGTCCGGTATATTGGAACCGCACAATTTGAGGAATAGCTATACATATTACATACTGATAAATTGAAGTGAAAATTCTTTATTTTGTTCTTGCGGTATAATCATTGAATAAACATCCTAAAAGATTTATGTATTTTTTTGTAGACGGAAAGACTAACGAAGCCGGACTTTGTTCTACGCTAATATTTAATTACGAATGCTTTAACCAATTCGCGACGGAACACTAACGTTAATGTAAATAATCTTTTGTGAAATCGTATGGAATTTAGTGGCCATTAAGAGAACTCCAAATACTCGAAAACTTTGTCAACCATACGAAGCTTTATTTAATTGATTACCTTACTTAGCAATAATTAAATTTTATAGAAGCGAATAATATTTGCAAGAAAATTAAAGTTTGTTTTTATTATAAATTATGTTGTTGCATAGAATTGATTATCACAATATAATGTCTCTAATAAAGTAGGTCACATTGGTTTCCGACAAACTAGTCAACACATTTATCATTGCCTTGGCTTATTGGATTTATACTTCTGCAGAGTGTAATCATGTTAGTTATAGTTTATATTTAGTAGTTAGTATTCAATTTCAATCAATCGATATTTAGAAGATTAATATTGTGAATGTTTTATTTCGATATTTTTATGTTCTCATCTGTAATCAAATCTGTTTTATATGTGAATTTATGAATGAAAATTGTTTTGAGTGTGAACATAAAAGTGCCGATTTCGGGAATTATTTGATAGTTTAATAAATATTTTACTTGGATAACTTGAATTAATTGTAACTATTTTTGTTTTAGTTATAGACATTTGGATTGTTTGATTTTTTAGGGTGGCCAGAACCATGCTTGCTGATCAAAAGAAAATGGTTCCTCCCGATGGGGGATGGGGGTGGGTTGTAGTCATAGGCGTTAGCATAGTCAACGTAAGTATTGATTTTGCATTACATTAATATTCCAAATTTAGAAACGAATCATTAAATTACAACAAATATTCCCTTTAAGTTCATTTCCAAGTAATCCATGAATCATAAAAAAATGCATGTGAATGGTTCTTTCAGTGGACGATTTTTCTTGTTGTAGTTTGAGTTGACTTCTTGGATTTAATGAAAATGAGTTTTCCACTTAATTTAAACGTGATTGAAAGGAAATTTGTTGTTGCTAGAGCTTTGCCAATTTCCGAAATCGATAATCTCGAAAGCTATTGCAGCTTACACATTCAGCAAATGGATTAAGTCCTTGACGAAGTTGTTGTTTTTTTCTGAACGATAGACTCTGACTCATGCAGGATGATATTTATATTTTCACTAGGTGGCATTGTCGCTAAATTTATCTGCGTTAAACTGATCCACTTGACGATTACGTAAATACAATACGAAGCTTTATTTACGATGTTATTTTTTTCAGTTTTGTACAAGATCAATGGAACCGTCTTTCGGTCTCCTTTTTGGCGACTTGTTGAAGGAATTAGATGTGGAGACGACGGGTGCCGCATTGATTATGAGCACGCTGGACGCCCTCATCAATTTCTCAGGGCTTTTCGTTGGACCTTTGATTCGTGCCTTATCATATCGTAAGGTATCCTTAATGGGATCCTTGCTGAGCGCCTGCGGATTTATGTTGACATATCCGGCTAAGAGCATGGCACATATCCTAGCCACTTACAGTATTATAAATGGTGAGTATTCTCAAATAAATACAGATTAAAAAAAAAAACTATATTTAAACTCAATTTATACACGTATCAGATTATGTTTGAATAGTCAATGAAACACAAATGAACTTGGCCCTGATGCAGAAGGTGCCAAAAAGCATGGAAAGTGTTCCTAATCTTAAAATAAGATCATGCATTTCGTAACAAAATCTTTCTATTTTGCTTATTTTTAATTATAAAAACAATCAAGAATTTAAAATCAAAAGATTTTTGTTCTAATTATACATTATGCGCATCGAATTGGAAATTCCTTAAAAATGCATGTGGTCTGCAACGTCGCGACGCCCAATTGCATATTTGATGCGCAGTATCACCGCAACTCTAAAACTTTCCGTCCTTTGAATTAGTTACAAAACATTGATTTTTCCCGTCTCTCTGTTTTCCTTCATTTCGTAACAACTACTTTCTTTCATCGCCAGAAAATATATTTTGATTTACTTTACACAAGTCATTTCAAAGGCAATTAGATTTTCACATTTAACTATTACAGATATTTAATTATTAATACCATTTAAACTTGACCAGACTTGATGTAGATAAAACTAATGGTTTTGGCCTTGTGATAATGAATACAATTGATAAATATTAAAAACATATTCGTTAATATTAGTTAAGATTTATTAATAAGAAAATATATCTGAAAATCCAACGAAATCTATTTTATATAGGAAATAGTTTAGGAGCAATCAAATCTGACGAGCAATCAATATTTGAGTTTTTAAGTTATACTTTTTTATATGTTTTGTGCACTGTTGGTTGCAGAGTTATGAATTTAATTTTTGTAATTATATTTCAATTTATTTTATTTTATATAATTTATAATCATAATATGTCTTTTAAAAGTATATATATTTCTTATTTTTTTTTAAATAACAATAAAGGAAATTTATGGTATAACAACATATAAAGTGCTATTGACCGGAGTCTTTCCACCTATATTTTAAAATTAAATTAATTCATTAATGAAGAATTTTATTAATACATTTATGTGTGATTTAGGTTTGGGTGTTGGTTTAACAGCCTCATCAACTTTCGTTGCATTGAATCATTACTTTGTAAACAAGCGTAGTCAAGCTTTGGGATTTTCTTTGGTCGGAACGGCTTTCGGTATGATGGTGATGCCTCATGCTGTTAGGATATTACTAGAAACGTACGGTTTCCGAGGTTCCATCTTGATTCTTGGAGCAATGTTCTTGAACAGTTTAGTAGGATCTTTGGTTCTGCAACCAGCGAAATGGCATTTCGTTCCTGAAGTGACAGACGAGGAAGGAGCTTATCATCAAGTGAGTATATTAAAATCATAACTAATCCGAACATAACATTAACTTATCTTCGAAAGCTGCAAGGAATATCTTTTTATTTTTCTTCGACTGAGGTAAAATTGAACTGAATACAGATTTTACTGAACACAAAAACTAAATGATCTTTGAATTTCTTGTGAGTTATTAATTTTGTAATGTTGTGCAGGAAATGGAAACAATTAAAGAAACGGACGATGAAGATACCAGTGAATTGCAGGAAGGGCAAACTTTGATAAAGAATAATATAGTGAAGACTTTGGAGGATTTGGAGAAGCAATCGTTGAATGTACCTAGTTTAACTAGTAAAGGCGCGTTTCCGAGGAATTTGTCCGCTCTGAGCTTCGCAGGAAAACAACGCAGAAAAGATTCGAAAGAGTCCATAATGTCGAGCTATTCCAGATTGGATTTTACTGGTTCAAGTTTACAGTTGCATTTGCAGGTAATTGCAAATTAAATTTGTTTTATATTTTTGCATTAATTGTTTTCTGTCTAGCCCGAGAATGAGAGGCGTTCCTCTTCTGACGGTTTGCATATGAGGAGGAACATGAGTTACCCAGGGGTGCAATTGACATCTCAGCAGAAGATGTTCAAAGATTTCCCGAGAGAACCTCTGGAGATTCCGCAGAAACCCAACGAGACGGTGTGGCATAAGATCGTTGTATTCATGGACTTGGATTTGCTGAGGGATCCCGTCTTCTTGAATCTTTTATTTGGATTGTCGGTGTTTTACGTCGCCGAGCAGAACTTCAAAATGGTTGCGCCGTTCTTCTTTTTATCGTTGGGTTACGACAAGCTCAACACTGCGACGTTCCTCTCCGTGCAGGCCTTTACCGACATTTGCGCCCGTCTCATCCTTCCCCCGATCTGCGACAGGCTCACATGCTCGAAGAGGACTCTGTTCATGAGCGCGATCCTCCTTCTTGGGATATTCAGATCAGGTAATTTACGGCAAGAGGCGCGAACCCGACGAGTGCAGCCATTTGGGTTCTCACCTCGTCGCCCAACGAAAAGAAGGAACCTCCGGGATCTCCGTGGAAAGATTATTATTATTGTTTTCCCAGTTTTTTTTACTTTTGAAATTTTTCGATTTCCGTTTTCGCTATACCTTTCTGTTACCCTTATATTCATTTTCGTTTTTTTTCGTTATTTCGTTTCCTTGATTCAGTAAAGAGTTGCTGCGCTGCTGTATTTTGTTTGGTTCCCGTTTATGGTTTATTTCTTTATGTTCTCAAATTAACTGTAATTTATTTTCTAATGGTCATTGTATTCTAATATATTATGACTTTTTGTTGGCAGCCAAAGGAGCCTTAAATAGGTAAAGAAAAACAAAAATAATAGAGTTGTAAGCTTAATAAGTTTATAAGAGACAAAAAAAAACATACGAAGAGAGCCATTTCTTATGATTTTTTCCTATCTCTCTATTTATACATACATATATACCATATGTAATCGTATATATCTATTTGGAATCGCAGGTTCATATTATATATTCAGCTTCTGAAGTGATTATTGATTTGATTTTGATTTGATTTCATTGAGTTCTTTCGTTTTCGCACTCGAGTCAAACATTGGATTCACCTGTTCCCACCGATCTAATTTATATTTCTATTGTTCGCAGTCCTCGCACAACAATCGGATTGGGGCGTTATTATGGGATGGCTTGTGCTCTGTGGATTCGTTAGAGGAGCTGCACTCATCAACTTCACTATAACCATTTCCGAATACTCCTCCTTGGAGAAGCTACCGGCCGCTTTCGGTCTCCACATGGTCGGTAAAGGTCTATTCGTTGTATGCATTGGACCAGTTTTAGGTAAATAAATATTCCATCATAATTCAGTAAATATAAAGAAAACATTAAAATTTATTTGTAATTTAGGTAAAATCAGGGACATCACCGGAAGCTATCCGATTTGCATCCACTCTCAGACTTTCCTCATCTTGCTTTGCGTGATCGCTTGGAGCGCAGAGTACATCATCATGTGGGTCAAATCCAGAAATAAGGAGGAAACCGAATCCGACACGACGACCACCTGACAAACCGACATCTAATCAGTTAATTTTCCAGTATTAAAAGAATAGGTCTGTCGTGGAAAATTTGAGATGGAAGCGTCCCCCCAAACGTTAGTAGCATCCATGTATAGCTATTGCACTATAACTCGTTTGGGGATTAAGCTTAAAGTATATTGTATTACATTGAAGAGCCACGAGCTCCGGAAACTCTTTACAGGGTAAAAAGAAAACTTGAGTCAGAAATTACTTAATATTACAATACAAACAAAAACTCATTATTATTGGAACTAAGAAGAAAGCATATTGAAAAAAAAAACTTTTCTAATCGTCTATTCGTTACGACAAAGTAAGAGGATATCATCAACCAGACCTTATGTGTATTTTTTATTTGAATTATTATCACTATTATTTAACGTTACTTTTAATTAATTTATAAATTACATTGTTATTTTTTTAATACACCCTATGTGTGATATTAAGTAGCTGTTACAAGACTGAATCTGTGAGAAAGTGTTCTAATAATAATAATATAAAGTATATAGTATATATGTATGTACCTAAATTAATATATGATATTTTTAGCAATTTGCAATTGTACATAGGAATTATTGTGTAATTAGGATGTGCAAAGAAACGAACAATGAGGATTGCAAACAAATGGAAATTATATCTACAAAACAAACAATATTATCCTTATCCTGAGTTACTTTCTCTCCTTATTTTCTAATCATTATTATTGTTATTAATTAATAAAATCCTTATCCATTTTATTGACAGAAATATCATTGATACACGAATGATGTTGTCAGCGTTTTATTTACAAAACCTTAAATGTCTTTGTAGACTTATTCCGAAATTGATATTATATTACGTAGTTTGAATGTTATATATTAAGAAGCTTAAAACTTCATTTATAATAAAATAAATTGTTGTTTTGTCATTGTTATACAGTTACAAGAAATTTGTAATAAAATTATATTTGTGGACTAAATTAATTTATATCAATCTAATGAAATTAATAAATGTAAAGAGTTTACGAATATTTAAAGCGTTGATAATACAAGTGAATATAGGATGTTTTGACAAAACTATATTTTTCTGAAAAACATATGAAAAAAAAAAGTTTTTAAATGAGATATCAACGAGTTTAACTTAACAATCGAAGAAGAATATTTATTGCTAACGAATTTATTGATTAACGAATCAAATGCGATTACTTTCTCTTCAGAGGTAAAAATACTATGACCAGAACTGGGATGCGTTCCTTCGTGAAGAAAAAGAAACAGTTTTTTTCGAACAAATTTTTATTAAATAAGCAGTAAAATATGAGATTACAGTTGATTGTTTGTGCTTTTCTTCTCTTTCACTTATCAATTGTCTATGTAGATTTTTTCCTAAATCAGGATCATTTTCACTATAAAAATTTATAAATCTACGGTTGTTAAGATTTTTCGTCAAGAACTTCTTTAATTTTACCTTTATTTTCATTGTCTTGATTGATAACAAGGTTTTCAAAATCTTCCATAGAAAACTATCTCTATTAATCTTCACTGTTTTATATACGGATTTCGAAACTTCGTTAACCGAGGTATTTAGAAAATTTCGAAAAAAATATAATTATATATTAAATAATTAAAACTATTCGTAGTATAATTGAATAAAAAGATACAAGTAAAATAAAATATTTGCAAAATGTTGACAATAATTGCGACGCAGCAATATTTTTTACATTTTACGAAAACTAATGTAATTTAATCTAACCTAAACTACCGTAATTTACCTTAATCTAATATATCCTTGGTACATATTTAAATCCTGAAATAGTACAATTAATTGCACTCGTTTTTTTTTAAACTGTTTATATAACATCTATAAAAATACCGAACTAATGTATACTTACCAGTTACGTAAGTTGGGAAAACATTGGTAAAAATTAATTAAGTCAACGAGCGGATGTAATGATTAGTTAATTTACATTGATCAAACAAGAAGATGAACGACAGAATCAATTTACAATTTTCAACTAACGTGAATAAACAAGCCGCTGATCTAGTTTGAAGGAGACGTTTGTTATCACGGTTCAAGTGGCAATAAATTTGTCCATACTAAGCAGAGGATTATATATATATATATAAAAAAGTAAAGTTTTTTGGGATAATTTATGTTAATATATAATATTATGATAAAGTTATGTTAATAATAAGATAACCGTAGCGCGCTTCAACTTGATTCACAGAATCGTACAGTTTCAGTTTGAGATGAAACAGGCGTTTGCAAAGTAATGATTATGATTGATAAGCGTGGCAGGAAATATGAGTTGGTGCCACCAGAAGGGGGTTGGGGTTACATGGTCGCACTTGGAATTAGTTTATATCTAGTAAGTTTTATTCAAATATTAAAGTTAATTATAATTTTCAATAAATTCAAAAATGTATATAAAATAAATAATTTTTAAAATTTGATATCCAAATCCAATCCTCAAAATTATCACCTATACCACAAAACTAAAATAGTTCTTCTAGATTTAATTATCGCTCTATTGTTTTGTATAATATCACTACCTCTTTAAATTATGCATTAATCGAAATCCTAATATCTACCCTAAATTTAAGTATCCTCTTGAAGTCTTTCTAATTACACAACCCTTCCACTTTCTTAATTTTCTTCTTGTATTTTTTATAAATATGCTTATGATAAATGTAATGTCTTTAATCAAAATCAATCTTACTGTATTTCTTTTTTTTGAGAAGTTTAATTTCAAGAGAAAGTAGTTTTACACATAAATAATATTACAATTTTTAAAGTGAAAATGTATGGGTAGAAAAATTTATGGTCAATAGACTTTTGAAGCAATGAAACTGTTGAACTATTTCAAATAAAATATTATTAATTTTTATAATACTTTCTTAATTATAGAAAATAATGTAATTTAATTTCAAATTTAAAAACGTCCGTTTAGGCAAGTCTATTTGCTCGCTTTATGTTGAAAACAATTGTTGCGCAAAATGTAAATCTCAGCTAATATTGACTTGAAGTCTAGTTATAAATCAGAATGTGATTACGTTTTTACGTAGCTTATCTAGAGTAACATACATATATGAAAATAATAGGAATTCTTTTTTTAAATGTTGAAACTTTGGTTGTCATATCTCATGATCCCATTGCATATACAAATCTCCTATATTTTAATCCAATTGCATTTTTAATTGACTTTTTTTAAGAAGAAATATTTAATTTTATAAAGAAAAATATATTGTAATCATAATTTAAAAGGGGTGCGAAGACTGTGGTCATTAGGCTTTTCAATGTTGTTTATGTTTATTCAAGGTTTAATTCTCATTTTTTTTTAGTTTAATCAATTTATGAACTGTAGAGGTGCCTCAAGGATCTAGTCTGTGTTTTTCTTTGTCTATTTTGTTCATAAATTCTAATCTTTTTATCTCTCTCTTTTATACTTGTTGTATAAATTTGAAACTACTGATTCATAGAGTTTTGATTAATTGGAATAATTATTTGATATTATTAATAGTAATGTATTTCAATTAATTTCAGAGCGTAACTATCGTACCAATATGTGTATTTGGAATAGTTTTTGGAACATTTCTATCTAAAATCGGCGATGAAACTTACGGAATCACTTTGGTTAACGGAATTTTCAATACAGTCTTATCATTCACAGGTAATTCGATATATAGTAAAGAGAAAATGAGAAAACGAAATGGTTGGTATTTCAGGTCTTTTAGCTAATCATCTACTGCAGAAGTACTCATGTCGATCGGTCGGCTTATTAGGAGCAGTTCTCTTCTTCGTCGGAGCATTCTCCACAGTTTTCATACAGAACCTGAATCAGCTCATTTTAACGTTCGGCGTATTCCAAGGTTATCCAGCATCAACTCAATTATGAAATCAAGTAAATCAATATTTTCGTTACCATCAGGCCTCGGTTTTGGACTGCTGCTGCCGTCCGGCTTCACCTCGTTCAACGGATACTTCGATAAACGCCAAAACGTGATGATGGGTGTAAACCAGGCCCTGGTAGTCGCAATTTCAATAGCATGGCCCGGGATCACGCAGAAATTAATGGATGCTTACGGGTGGCGAGGAACCCAATTAATATTCGCAGGTCTCAGTCTGCACGCCGTTCTGGCGATGCTCGCTTTGCAACCGGTCAAGAGGCACATGAAGAAGCAATACATCACCAGCATCGAGGCGCAAGGTTAAAGAGACGATTCGCCGCTCGATCAATCGACTTCAACGTAATTAAGTAACAGTTCATTATTTTGTAGAAGAAGGAGAGAATGGCGAGCCGAAGATTACTGATGGAGAAAAACCGCTGTTAGGGAATGTTAAAGCATCAATTGTTGCCAACGAACTCGAAAGAAGGAAAGCTTCGGTGATTTCAATCGGCAGTTTAGGTATTTCGGTGTCTCAAGTAGACACATCGAGAATTGAAGGAAAACCTAAAGGACTCTGGTATTTACTTTTAATATCTCATTAAATTTATCTGATTCGTTTATCTCAATCAAGGACTACAATTTACGACGCCCTTGATTTGTCTTTATTCAAGGACCCGGTCTACGTGAACATAGCTTTTGGTTTAGCTCTAAGTCTGACGGCGGATATAGCTTTTCTTTCGATTTTCCCCATGATTCTAAAGAATGCCAATTACAGTCCTGCAGATATAACCATTATACTCACTGTTTACTTCAGTTCGGATTTAGCTTGCAGAGTTGGACTTTCCGTCTTGAGTGCAATTATTAGCGTTAAAAACCGTTACGTCGTCCTTGCTGGTGCTTTACTTTCAGCATTTTTCCGAACTGGTAATTATAATAATTTAAACTTATATTTTTTATCGAATTATTTATAAATACATTTCAGTTTTAATTATGAACGATGATAACTTTTACATCGTGCTGATCACGTGTGGAGCTTTAGGATTTTTGAGATGCATGGTCCAAACTCCTATACCTTTAGTTGTAGCCGAGCAATACGGGCCTAGGTTCCCAACTGCTTTCACACTTTACATGGTCGTTGGAGGAGTAGTAGCCTGCATCTTCGGACCTTTGATAGGTGACAATATTAATAATCTATAATCGACGTTTTACGTAACTAATTTTTACAGGATTCGTTAAAGAAGTAACTCAGAGCGATAAGATGGCTGTGCATCTGCTGACTGGTGCTTACCTATTATGCGGAATACCGTGGACCATCGAATTGCTTCTAAAACGATTATCGAAGAAAAATATAGTAAATAATTAATCGAATAAATCACATATTAACTTCATTATAAATAAAACTCACTTTCACAATTACTTCATCTGTGATATGTAAATCAAATGTAGTAGTTTTAAGAAGATTATTTCGTTGCGAATATAACGTATATTATTATATGTTGTTAATTATAATAAAATTCAAGAAAATAAAGTTTATGTATTATAATTACAGACTTTTTGAATTTATTAATTGCAGCTTCGCTTTAAACGTCGGATTGTGTGATTTATATCTGGTTCGGCGTTGAAATTTTCGACAAGGAATAAATAAGTAAACTGCACTTGTCCGAATCTAAATCATTGATGTGAACTGAAACGAAAACCAGTTCGAAAGCGCGATATTTATTTCGTTTCCCACGATATGATTCTTACAATGCGATCAAACGAATTTACATTTGGATTTATTCATAAAATTGTTTGTTTTATTTGTGTTGCAAATTACAATATCTTTGTTTATTACATCTCATTCAAACCGTTTACTTACAGATATTTTATTTATACTTGAGAAGACATTGATTGTAATCTTTTGAAGTAAACAATTTTTAAATTTATTGCATTTTATGTTTTAACTTTACATAAATTTAATAAGACTCTCAACGGACCAATTAATAATCTATTTTTAACAATATCCGGACTGTTTGAAACCACACTAATTGCAGAACTAAATACATGCTAAACAATTTTCTGTACATATTGTAAACACAGTATTCAAAGTTGTTGCTGACTTCACTTTTTGTATCTACGTCACTAAAGAACTAATGAATTTGTCTATTATTTTATTGATATATGAAAAAGTGAGGTCAATTTGACTGTTTTATAATAAATAAATTTTAAATTTATATTTGTAGCAATTTTTTATATTTCGTTTAGTTAAAATTAATTTGATTGAAATAATATGAGATTGAAAAAAAATTGTTTATTTTATTTTTTAATTATATACAAGATTTTTTTCTTAGTAGAGAAATAGGATTTATATTGTGGCTTATTTAAATATGAAATATGCAGAATTAGCTGTCAGAACTAGTTTAGAAAAAAAAATAGTTGAGTGATTTATGTTGGGAGGAACTTTAATAATCTAGTGGAAGAAAAACGAAAGGTAGAATATTTATGGCTGTTCTAACTAAGTTAACAGATATAATTTTAAGTAAATATTTAAATTGTCCGGAGTGGAGAGTCCATCATTAATTAATAGCGGGGAAATAAATATGTAAACATTGGACCCGAACTGTACTGACCTATGTAAATTTGGGAATAGCTGGAGGACAGAATTCGGTCCTCCGCCCAAACACAACTTCCTAAATATGAATTGCAAAGTGATTTCTATTGAAATCGGGAATTATAGATTGGAATCGGTTTAAATTCGAGGTAGAATTAAAGAGAATAGGTGTGAGATGTCGTGGGATGTTATTATCTTTGGCGGTGGTGAAGAGATGTAGGATCAAAAGACCAAAAGAGGAACGATTATTTATCGGGTGATGATACGTTTTGCCGTGCAATATCTGATCGAATCCCTAATGGGGACTTCGACTACTATTTAGATCGTGTTCGATAACAGGAAAAAACGATATACAAGCCAGAAACGAGGTGGTGTTGATGGTATAAATCATCTGGAATGGAGGAGCGCCGCGCCGACACACAGAAGAGAGGTGTTAACGCAATCATCCTACACATTGTTTTCCCTCAAACCTTCCTGATTAATTTATTATAAACGCAACCGCTTATTTCTCCTCTCCCAGAACCACTAAAAACTCTCTTTTCATCCTTTTTTTTACAATTGATTTGCTTTTTTTGGCCATGTCCATCGTCATATTTATTGCTCGAAATTGTTGTTCCATGGTATTTTTGCGCCGACCGTGCAAACATCGCATGGCGTGTCCAATCCACGTTAATCATTTAATTAAACCACTGATTTATTGAGATGGAAACTCTTTGCTCGCAGCAAAATATTTAATTAATTAATCAATATCTATATATATTATATAATATACATTTAATGATTTATATTTTATTAAGCTGTTATTAACTGTTGACCTCATATTGAACCCAAAATTTCTGGAAGTATGTCTATTTTTTTTGTAAATGTTTGGTTACATACATTATAAATCAGTTCACATCACGGAAATTTTCAAAATTTTATTTACTTTTTTCTCTATACAAATCATTAATAAAATTAAATTCAAAATCTTCTTTAAATAAAAATATTTTTGATCATGTAAAAAATATTATACTATTAAGTATTCAATTTCACATATTACTGAAGATTTAATAGAAATATTACAGTGAAAAATCAAAGTTACTTGTAGAAAAAAAAAAATTGAACATAATTTGTTAGAAATGTGATATTTTGAAATCATTTGAAGTAAATTTCAATTAATGTTACATTAATTTACAAAGAATGAAATAAAAAATATAATGTTTGTTTTATGTTCAATATGACTTAATTAATTAATTTTTTTTTTGAAATTATGAATATTTTTAAGGCATATAATTAAGATAATTTAAACAGTTGTGTAATTTTCATTGTGAATATAAATAATGATCAAAACACATAAAAAAATAGATCATTTCAATTTAATTTCTTTCGACATTTTCATAGTTAATCCGGACTAATCGAAGTCGTACTATGAGAGGTATTGGTATATTTGTAAACTCAAATTAAAATAATTTAAACTGTTTGTTAATTGTGTTGTAATTGTAAGAATAATGAATAATGAATAGAAAAATAAATAAAAATTAGATTTTCATACTTAAAGTACAGCATTACCTCGCAAAGTACGGTTTCTATCTTTCCCGGATTGACTATAGTCAAAAAAAAATCTAAAAAAATAAAATTATCGATTATCCGGTTACAAATAGTCCGCGATTTTGGTGGAACCGATTACTCGCAAGGTATTGTTGTATTAATGTTTGACCTATAAACCAGGAGGAATTTTAATCTGGAATTTTGTGTAATAATTACCATTTTTCTCTTAATAACCATCATTTCATCGCTAACGGTTTGTTTTTTTTATTATTTATTAAATAAATTTTAATATTAGTCTTCTAAGTAAAAATTATGCTGTGACCTCAGGGTGTTAGATAATAATTTAGTGGATGCCTAAATAAGGGTGCTGAGCCCACCCACACCGGACGGAATAAATACTTCTCTTCATCGTGTGCCTTGTTCTTTCCCTCTACTCCTTCGCCTCCTTCATATTTTTTGTGGCCTAGAGCCACTAAACGATTTCGCTTTAATATAAATTTTACCTCCTCCACCCAGAAAACACCTACGAACATAAAAGAACGATGAATCCAAATAACTGCAATTATTGCACACGTCATTAATAACTCACTGCTCCGACTCTGTATCTTAATTAATCTCGTAGGATCAGCGCATCAGCAACATCTTCCCAGAGTACAGTTATCAAAAGCTATAAGTTAATACTTAGATTTCTTAATTAACTGCAATTGTTTGGGGTTAGTTTTTGGTGAGGGTAGGAAAGGTAATTCAAAGCGAGGATTTATCGGTCCACTTAACATATTTTAGGAGACGGGGAGAAATGAAAACAAAGTGTGGCCTTAAATAAACAAGCATGCATTATGCATGCGCGTCGGCGCGGGTTTAACAAACTTTGGTCCTGAAACTGGGGAAAGAATTAATGAGATTACGTATGTGTGCATCAACGGAACGGAGTTAGGTAATTGAACTACAGAAACGATGATAAATCAACACTCTTTCACTACTGTTTCCACATCGTACGTTTCCTGTATACTCGACTAGAGGCGCTGGTTAACCTTCATTTATATTTAAATTGACTTTTCCTACCCCAACTTCAATGGAATCTGGGTTGATCTGAATTTCAAATTTTTTTCTCTCTATTTTATGCTCTTGCTTTTATTACGACGGTAATTCAATAGTTGTTGGATCATAAAATAAACCCCCCGACGTGTATGTTCTTTTTATTCACGATTATTACTTTGATTTTTATACTTTTATCACTTAAGTCTTTACTAAAATCAAGGTCAGAATTGTAAATGAGGCTTTTCCATATTTGATTTTATTAATTAATTTTTATTTCAAAGGAAAAATATCAATAACTTAAATATTTAATTACTGCCCTTTTCAAGGACACAATTTTACAAATAAACTTCTCTTATTAAATTATTTTAAAACAAAAAAAAACAACAATTAATTAAATATTTAATTATTTTTACTTAAACGCTTTTCATCAATAACGTGATTTATCATAAAAGATTATAAAGAAAAGAATACGATAATGTTAAATATTTAGTTTCAATGTCATTCATTGAAGAAGACTAATTGCAATTACTCATGTCATTTGCTTTTCTTAATCTCTCGTTACACAGCTTTTGCATCACATTAGCATTTCGCGTCTCGTGTTTGTATTATGTTTCCGATATTATTTATGATCGTGCTCGTCCTTTATTTTTGTTGGATAAATGCATTAAGCATCAACGGCGGTGGTCAAAATTGAATTTCGAATTGAAATCAGTGCGACAGCCGCATTCATGTGTTATTAATTCCGCGTCGATGCAGATTCAATTTCATTACAGACTAATTAACTTATTCTCTATATGTAGATTATTAATATTATATTTATAAAATCCTTTGTACATACATTATCAGGCAAAATTAAGAAAATTTAACATTTATTTTTAAACCTTTCAACACATTTCAATACAATTTGTGAAAAGGGCGAAACATATTCTGGAATTCAGAGAGAAAATATTGAAAACATTTGATGCTTAATTACAATTTATTATATGAATGAGATACTCAAATTAGTTCTGAATTTAGGAATAATAGACTTATTCATTTTATCATTAAGGAGGAATGTAATTGAAGAAAATTCACGTATAAATTTGTATTATAATTTTAAATATTGAAATTGGACTCTCAAATTACTGCTTAATTTATAGATAAAGATCTGTTAATTTTATATATAAAAAAGGATATATTTGCATAAATTATATAACAATTACGAAATATTGATTTTTAATTTTTCGACAAAATTTGAAGAAAACATTTATCAATTTTAAATAAAATATATCAATTAAATCCAATTC